AGCTAAACAATCGGATTTGTTGTCTGGCCACCCACTCCTCACATAGTTAGTAACTACTGTCAGTATTTCATCTAGGGCAGTTTCTTGTGCAAATTCCCTTAATTTTTCTTCTGATGCTTTCATAATTGTGTCTACTTTGGCAGCTTCATTTTCCAGGTAGTCTGTATTGACAGATAATTTTTGTGGGCTTCTTGAGAGAGCATCAGCCACAAATAGATGTTTTCCAGGAACATATTCCAGTGTTGGATTATACCGTAGAAGTCTCAGCGCCAAGGCTTGTAACCTTGGAGTTAGGGTGTCTAAAGGTTTTTTTAATAACCCCAATAAGGGTTTATGGTCAGTTTCGACCATAAATTTTTGTGCATACACATAATATTTAAAATGTTCACAAGCTTGAACAATTGCCAGCAGCTCCTTTTCAATTTGGGCGTATCTGGACTGTGTTGGTGTTAGTGATGCTGAGCAGTATGCCACTGGTCTGCCTTCCTGTAGTAGCACAGACCCCAAACCATGTTGGCTTGCATCTACAGAAAGTGTTATGCTTTTTTGTGGATTAAAGTGGGCCAAAACTGGTGCCTTACTGATCAAGTCCTTCAATTTATCAAAACAGGCTTGTTCGTTTGGTCCCCAAATGAATTCGCTATCTTTCCTGAGTAATTGTCTCAGGACCTGTGTTTTCTCCGACGTATTGGGAATGTAGTTGCTAAGGTATTTTACTATACCCAGGAACCGTTGTAATTCCTTCACATTATTTGGTGCTTTTATATTTTGGATTGCACTCCGTTTTGCCTGGCTGATTTGGGCCCCTTCTGGACTAATTGACTGTCCTAAGAATGTGATCTTCTGACTAGCTAACTGCATTTTACCTCTATTGAACTTGAGGTTTGCAGTCCTGGCTCTAGTTAGAACAGACCGCAGTCTCTGGTTATGTTGCTCTAAAGATTCTCCTGTTATCAGCACATCATCCATATTATGTGTATACTCCTTCTAAGCCTTCAAGGGTATTATGTATTGCTTTCTGCCATACTTCCGGGCTGCTACTAACTCCATATGGCAGTCTTTGGAAACTGTACCTGCCAAACGGTGTTGAAATTGTACATATTTTTGTGCTTTCTTCTTCCAGGGGAATTTGTAGAAAGGCAGAAGAGGCATCTAACACAGTAAAAATTTTTGCATTCCCAATTTCTGCTAATATGTGATCCACAGTTGGGAACTCATAATGTTCTCTCTGTATGAATTTGTTCAGAGACCTTGGGTCCATGCATAACCTGATTTTACCGTTAGGTTTTTTAGCTAGCACTATTGGGTGCACCCATTCTGTTGGGTCCTCTGTCTTTTTTAATACCCCATCTTGAACCATTTTTTCAATTTCATTTTTTACTTGATTTCTTAGTGCATATGGGATTTTTCTAGCACAACTCACTGAAGGTGTTGCATTATCTGCTAACTTCAATTTATATTTTTGTTGTAGTCTGCCTAGACCCATGAAAACATCTTTAAATTCCTCTACTATTTTTTCTGCTGTCATATCTGGACTAGAAACTTCAGCTACTTCTCTACTTATAAGACTGAAGGTTTCCATACCTTCTAGGGATAACAGTGGCCTTCTATTTTTAGTTGTTATGAAGTATTCCAAGACATGTTCTTTGTTACGTAGCTTGGTGTTTAGTTTGACTATTCCAACAACTGGTATTTCATGATCTGTGTAGCTTGAGATGGTACGTTGTGTTTTCTCAATTTTTGTTTTGATTTTTAAAGTATCAAACACTCTTTTTGGTAAGATGTTTACATGTGAGCCAGTGTCCATTTTGAACTTGACAATTTTTTCACCCAGTTCTACGTTTTCGTACCACTCTTTTGACACACATGAGACTATGTTCTCCACTAGAATGCTTTCATTTACAGTACCCACATAATCACTGTCATCACTGAGTTCATCTTCATTTTGTTCAATAACGTCCACTGTCCTTGTTCGGCACATTTTTGGTAGGTGATTTTTCTTGTTGCACTTCTTGCAGGTTAGACCCCATGCACTACAGCTTCGTGGTTTATGGTGCTTGCCACATCTTTTGCACAAGAAAGTTTCCTCTTGCTTTGGTCCACTTCCTTGTTGCTTAGGCTCTCTTTTCTTGATTACATTTACTTGCTGGTTCTCTGAATACTCTGTAGCATTCTGAGAGCTCATAGCCTTTTTCTGTACTTTTGCAATCTCTTCAGCCCTGCAGATTGTTATTGCTGTCTGAAGTTGTAAATCGCTCTCTTTAAGTAACAGGTCCCTTGTGGTTTGATCTCTAATGCCACAAAGTATTCTGAAAGCTATAAGTTCCTCAGTGACTGCTCCGAAATTGCAGTCTTTTGCTAATATTCTTAGGTTAGTTAGGAATTCATCAAAGCTCTGATTTTCCTTTTGTGTTTCCATGAAGAACTTGTATCTGATATTGGTGGTGTTCTTATATGGCTTGTAGTGTTCGGATATGCCATTCAGTATTGTATTAATGGTTAGGTTATCCCCTGTGAGTGATTGACCTGCTTCATCAACAAATTGGAATGTATTATACAGTTCCAGCCCTGTTGGACCTATAACATGCAGTAGAGTAGCTCGTTGTTGTGATATGGGTTTGGCGGTCAGCTCGGCGACTTCTATGAATATTTCGAATGACTGACGCCATCTTTCCCAATCAACCGTTGGATTGTCACCTATGGTGAATTCTTTGGGTGGTTTGAAAGCCATATTACTTTCTGAAGAGACGAAATTTTTTGGGTTTTCTTTATTTCCTTAACCTCACTTTTAATTTTCCCTCCTTTTGATATACTTTGGATTTAAGCGAATTTTAGTTCCACTAACCGCTGCCACCATGTTACATACTTCTCTTGTGTATGTAATGAAGTTCATTATTCAATAAATAATCAGTTATTATAATATGTTGCTTTATTAACTTTTATTTCAAGTCACTGCAAAATAGTCGATACATGAAATTGCCTGATACCGAACATGATATGGCGTCCTGTCAGTTGTTGACGCATGTCATTAGACAAGACAATTGACATGCGACAACATGTCAGGGTAAAGGTTGATACACAAGTTGTGAAGCCTATGTTACAGGGTGTATACAAGGCACGGTCAAAAAATTCATTTTTCTGAAAAAAAATTCCGAGCGCTATTCCAAAACCAACAAGCTATATTTTGGTTATCAATGCCTTCGATAACGTATTTCGATTCTTGATAACTATCTCTGTTCGAAATATGAATTTTTAGAATTTTGTGTATACCACTTTTTGAAAACAATTGACAGCTTGAATTTGATCACAAAGAAATGGATTGATTGATACTGTTGATTGAATGAAAGCAGAGTTAACTCACTAGCGAATTCAGTTGTTCAACATCGCCTTTCTCTCATTTAGATACAGGGTGTGTTAGATTTTGTTGAAGATTATTTAACATGTTTCAATTGAATATCTCGAAAACAGTTCCGTTAATTCGAATCTCATTCTACTCACAATATTTTGAATATGTTGACTATCATATGCTAACAGTTTTTCTTCAATTTTTTAAGTTTCGCTTCCGAGATATCAATTTCTGAGTTTACAGTATTACAGGTATAATAGGATTATTACCTCGGATATTACTATCGATTTAACAGAACTTCACGTTGTTTATAGTAAAAACTTTTTGATTCCTGATCGTTTCATAATGTAATTGAATAATCGAAAGATTCCGTGTCCTCAAAAACAAGCTGTCAATTGTTTGCAAAAAATTCATATTTCGAACAGAGATAGTTATCAAGAATCAAAATACATTTTTGAAGCCTATAATAGACTAATTTTGTGACCGTGCCTCGTATACACCCTGATTCACTATAATTTATGTGATTATAACTAGACATGTTTATGAGTTCCGATCAATACATTTTCTAGCTTATTTTGTCTTATTTATACTAAAAATACAGTTTTTTTGTCAATCCTACCCCGATACGACGTTGTCGGCTCATATCTCAGAAACTAAACATACAAAACTTTTCCAACTCACATATTTTTCTAATGAGCCATCCCGTGCGGGGTCCTTTGACTCAGAATAAGTGGTGACAGGTAGGGTTTTGAGATCTACCATTCAATTGGTATCGGATGGCATAATTGTTATCTCTTTATTACATATATGTACAGGGTGGGCCAAATTGAACACTTCCAAAGGGAAAGTCAAATTCTCGAACTAGTTAGAAGAAAACTGATGTCCGTGACCGAGGGTCGATTCTCATGCAAAAATTAATGGTGAAAACCGCATATCCATATATTCCTTCATTTCAGAGTTACAAGTTATTCTCCAAAAATTTGCATTTTTGAAAAGTGTCAACAAATATTTTTTTGCTGAACATTGTCTGTTCTCATGAAAGTAACTGCAAGAAAATGATAGCATTGATGGCAAATACATATTATTACCTACTAAGAAACCAAATTCAACAGTGGTGAACTATTGGGGTCTAGTTGATCGTTAAGTAAAATTTTAGAATTTGCGAGTTTGTTGATTTCTAATGATTCAAAATCATTGAGTTTTATTCCTTTATTTTCTACGTGTAGAATTTCGGAATTATCATCAAAACTATGGTTTTCTTTTAATATATGGTTGTCGTATGTTGAATTTGTTTTCTATTTCATAAAATTCATCTTATTCAAAATCACCGTTTTTTGACTTCCTCCGCTACGCGTCGCTGGAGCCAAAATCTACAAGTTTTTTCCCCTGTATAATATGTAACTATTTTTATTATGAAACGTTTAATGCAAATAACTGCAGTTGCAAAAAACTTGGTGCCAAAACCAATTATGTTTTGGAGAATTTCAACAACCTGTAGCTCAAAGATGAATACTTATTATATAGAAAAAAGTTTTTTTGACGAGATCTACCACACACTCTGATCACAGTACTGGACGTCGCCGACCACTATTAAGTTATAAAATTTACCCTATAGCAATCTTGTAGCTTTCTTGATTCTAGATTTTGTTTTCAGATTTGCCGGGAACAATTTGTTGCACTTCATTCACAGCCAATTTTGGAAGATTTGTCTGCTTTCATGTCTGATAAATATAGTTATCATCAAAGGTGAGTTGAACGTTTGAATCAAAATGTCACTCTATACTAGAACCCTTGTCATTTCAAATTGAAACGTCGTAGGTGAGGTATGATATTGTCTGTTCATTGGAAAATAAATATATAGAAATCGCCCTCATCAACGATATTTTCAGTAAGCCAGTGAAATCTAATCCTCACCATAGAACATATTTCGTACCATTCTGAATGCCTAAAAGCACAAATGAGACTGTGATTAGGTTATGTGAGAACAAAAAATAGTAAGTCTTACCACACTATGCGTTTTATGATCGCCTTGGTAATGACTCATGAATCTCACGTGAGAGATTTTATTTTAAATTGTGTCAATGTTCTTTTTCAATTATACAGGGTGTTTCATGAGGAGACTCACATAGCCAAATGATTAATAAGGGAAATCAAGACGAGTTGATGTATATAAACTACTCAACACTAATTTCGTCGCACACCAAAATGTCGCCCCTGTTATAATGTGAATAACTTTTTTCAGTTTACAACAATTTGAATTTGGTTCACACTGTTCGATAGCCCAGTCCTTCAGCTATAATCTCGTACTTCATTGAAACATAAGGGTATTCACATAAAATCTCTACATGGTGTTTTCCGACAGTGTGCAAAATTTCGGAATATTCAAAAGGCTCTCAAATGGTGAAAACAATTTTTTCTCAACTTCGACAACAGAGGCTTGAAGATGATCTCATTACCTCGAGATATTTCGCGAATTAACTTCCTATCTCTCTTATTTACAGAGTGATCTCAAAAAAACAACTTTTTGGTTTTGCAGCCATAACTTTTTTTCACTTCAACCGATTTTGGAAATCTTAGGCTCATTTTGAAGATAAAACTTACGATTAAGAGATCTGAATATTATAATTGACTCAAGATGGCTATCAAAGATCTAGAGTTTTCTTGAAAGTGACCCAAATCTGGAACGCCCTCCGACTCTCGACTGGGAGGAGAATTGAATGAAAATCAACGTGTTCTCGGAAAAACAATTCATTCTGGATGCGTCCATATTTTCCTCGCTCTCAGTAGTCAAGAAGGTGCGTGAGAAAACACAATTGAAACATGTTCCCGCAGAAACATCAGACCATTTCTCCTCTGTAATGCATGGCCCGTAACCAACGTTACAAGAATCACAGTAAGTGACTGACAAGTCAGGTTAGACGTCGTTTTCGAATCATAAACAGATTTCGATAGTTTCGATGCCGCGTCTAACGCAAATGTGGGTGACAACTTTGTTCTCGTTGAAGACAATGCGAGACCGAATAGGGTTGTTGGTACACCATTTATGATGAGCCTTAGCTGGTCGGGTTTGTCAGTCCATTGTGATTCTTGTAACGTTGGTTACGGGCCATGCATTACAGAGGAGAAATGGTCTGATGTTTTTGCAAGAACATATTTCAATTGTGTTTTCTCACGCACAATTCTTGACTACTTAGCAAGGAAAATATGGACGCATCCAGAATGAATTGTTTTTCCGAGAACAAGTTGATTTTCATTCAATTCTCCTCCCAACCGAGATTCGGAGGGCGTTCCAGATTTGGGTCACTTTCAAGAAAACTCTAGATCTCTGATAGCCATCTTGAGTCAATTCTGATATTCAGGTCTCTTCATCTGAAGTTTTATCTTCAAAATGAGCCTAAGATTTCTAAAATCGGTTGACGTGGAAAAAAGTTATGGCTGAAAAACCAAAAATTTGATTTTTTGAGATCACTCTGTGAATAAGAGAGATAGGAAGCTGATTCGCGAAACATCTCGAGGTAATGAGATTATCTTTATGCCACTGTTGTCGAAGTTGAGAAAAAATTTTTTTTCACCATTTGAGAGCCTTTTGAATATTCCGAAATTTTGCACAGTGTCGGAAAACACCATGTAGAGATTTTATGTGAATATCCTTATGTTTCAATGAAGTACGAGATTATAGCTGAAGGACTGGGCTATCGAACAGTGTGAACCAAATTCAAATTGTTCTAAACTGAAAAAAGTTATTCACATTATAACAGGCGCGACATTTTGGTGTGCGACGAAATTAGTGTTGAGTAGTTTATATGAAAACATTTTTTGACCCTCCATAGCGAAGATACAGGGTATTATGTGAAATTGTTATATAACTTTGATGGCCGATATTACAGGAATGATTCATCGTAATCCTGCTGAAATTTGGCAGCGACGTATCTCTACTGAAACTATTCAAGATAACATATTATGAAAAAAAATATCCAGGTCCGGACTTGGGAAAATTTCATGTTTCATTGTTATGTCAAAAAAGTTCACTTTGTGACCACTTTTCTCGAAAAATTCCATTAGATTCAGAAAGATCAGACAAAATGCTATAAGAACTGCTCTTCAATTTACACGGCACACTTTGACCGGTTCAATAAAAAAGTATGGAACAAAAACGCTCGAATGAATTTTCAATTTTGACCTGGCTGATAACTTTTATCTTTCAACTGGATTCGTGTAAATTGATTTTCTCGTACATTTTTATTGGATAGAAATTGAGAGAAGAGAGGAGTTCTGATTTGACATGTTAGTTTTTGACCGAACTTCTAGATGGATATGATTACTTGTGACTCTATATTATAAATTCGTAATAAAGTAGGTCCTGTTTGTATTTTATGTCACGTGGCGCTTGTCAATTTCAAATGCTGAACAAGACGAAAATCCAAATGCTGTGCTATGTTTAATATCATAGAATATTTTCAGACCCAAGAATACGTTGCAGTAAAACCTTCACGAGAATGAACATTAGGAATTTCGAATAAATAGCAAATGTATCCTTTTATCACTTACAGAAATGTATCAATAACAAAAAATGGAGCTGAGTTTATGCGTGATGATATGGGCACATGAATCCTCATGTCGTAATTTCATCAGTTGGTACCTACCTAGTACTAGCCTAGTACCTACCTATCAGTTCGGATTATCAACAAACGTCACGTCTCGTCACACAAATGGAAAACAAGGCCTACCAGATATCTTATCATTACTTCAATTGAAACCCATAAAACAAAGTCAGGAATAATAATATCTATCTGGAATTTCGATAAAAAAATATCGTGTTTTTACTTCTCATCTATTCTTTTGTCAATTACTATTCAACAAAAATGTAGGAAAAATAGGAAGTTGACAGTTATCAGCCAGGTCGAAATTTGAAATTCATTCGAACGACTTTGTATAATATTTTTTATTGAACCGGTCAAAGTGTGCCGTGTAAATTGGAGAGCAGTTCTTTTTGTCTGATCTTTCTGAATCTGATGGAATTTTTTGAGAAAAGTGGTCACAAAGTGAACTTTTTTGACATAACAATGAAACATGAAATTTTCCCTAGTCCGGACCTGGATTTTTTTTCATAATATGTTAAATTGAATAGTTTCAGTAGAGATACGTCGCTGCCAAATTTCAGCAGATTATGATGAATCATTTCTGTAATATCTGCCATCAAAGTTATTTAACAATTTTACATAATACCCTGTATCTTCGTTATGGAGGGTCAAAACATATACACATATACATCAACTCGTCTTGATTTTCCCTATTAACCATTTGGCTATGTGAGTCTTAACAATATCCATAATTATCTCTTAGGTACTTCTGAATACATCATTTTGGTGTCTGATGATGGCCTGTGGCCGTAACTAGTTACTCTACTTATCAAACCATTTTTCATGGTCGACAATGAGTTTAGGAGTTAGAAATGTGACGATCGTTCTTATGAAAATTCTGTTAAAACGAGTATTTACGCTTGCAAAAATGCAGTTTCGATGTGCCCGTTTTTTCAAAACCCTATATAGAAAGTAGGTGAAAATTCACATATGGAGTTTTCAAACCATGAAGAACAATAATATGAGGTTAGATTTCCTGTAAAAAAATGCCTAGTATGATTTTATGAAAAATTTACCTCTTTTTATTTCAATAAAAACTCACTGCAATGTCCAAAGTAATGTGAATCTCATGACTAATAACTGAGATATAGAGGGGGGCCGTTTAAAGTGAGACACGCTGTAGAAATATTCAGAAAAAAATCGAATTTTTACTTATCTTTGGACGTTTCGGGAACGAATCTGCTCTAAAATTGAATGGACGCTTTCTGAAATACATCTGGGAAAGGTGTAGTTTTCCATTTAGAATGAGAATACTGGAAGGATACTTTTCTGTTTCAGTGATTTTGCTGGGGATGGTTCCCTCGCAGATGCAACCAGAAAGAAACTGAACAGAATTTTGAGGCAGTTACCCAAAACCGGTTCGTTTGACATAACCAAAGTTTTAGATTCAGTTTATTTCTTTAGTTAACGAATTGTTGAAAACGTTCATGTAGAATGTATTTTTAGTTTACTCTAAGTAAAACTTTGTGAATAAAGTCTGCAATAAATATGTACATGAGCTAATTGAGATATAGTTTGTTTTATTTTCAAGTTTATAATAGTAGATTGTTTTATTAGGATCAAAAGTGACACTTTGTTCGACAAGCGAATTTTGCATTTGCGAGGCGGAACGTTTAGCGAAGCCGAGCGAAAGCAAAATTTGCGAGTCAAATAAAGTCACTTTTGGTCCGAATGAGACGTGCTATTTTTTCTGCAACCAAAACAATCAACTCAAATAAATATGTGAAGTAACCACCAATGCCGTGCCATATGTATGCAATGCAACAAATAATCCGTGTGGTGAGAATATTCTACCTGCATCAACAGCAGGTTTATGAGGATCAAGGATGTTCGAATTGTAGTTTCAATATAAATACAACCACAAAGTGACATATTTGTGTATGGGCCAGGTGCTCTAATAGCAAGTACCGCGCCAGTGCCAGGTATATAGGAACAAGACGTGGAAAATGTTAGGTTAGTGAGCATATCAACAATAATAATTGCGATTATTTATTTCTCTCCATACTTCACTGTGTTTGGCTTGATAATCAAATGGAGGTAAACAAATTTGTTGTGTGAGACAAAAAACTTTTGTTGTCCGTGATTATTCAAAAACAAGTTATCCATCCCGAGAATAACAAATGGAATACAGATCAAGCAAGTATGTGAATCTTGAAGGTTTTTCTGATCAAAACAAAAATACTCTACTATACCCTTGATTATATGCACTACTGTGAATACTCATAGATTATACCAAGGTGTATTTAAATCTCCAGCATGGGTATGAAATGCCAAATCCGTATAAATTGGAAACAATGTTGTTTATTCTTGATGACCTCTAGTACATCCTTTTCAGTCCTAAAGTTCAACTTCAGCTCCTAGGAACTAAAGGTGTTACCTAGCAACATACCTATTGTTGTGTCAGTACTTAATGGTATCAATTGGTATCAAAATGGATAACTTTTGTGTCGGTTGCAGAAAAAAAGTTTTTTATTTATCTGATTCTCAGACGGTTGACGAAAAATACAAACATTCGGCAACATTGGTACAATATTAGTTTCAAAATGTGGATGTAATATTGAAAATCAGCGAAAATCAGCTTGTATGGATATTCGTTTAGTTATATTGGTCATAAAATGTGGAATCAATATTTGCGAGAAATGAAAAGTGAAGATTTGACAAAGTTGGTGCAATATTAGTTGGGAATATTGGTGTATCATTTGTTGACTTTTATTTGTTCCATTCTGGTAACAGTGGTGGAAACAGAATGACGTTTACTAATAAAACGAGAAAGTTCATGAACATGCAAACCTTCCATGAGGGAAATTGACTCATTTTAGATGATAGAGTTTATATTTATATATTGGGGATCCAAATGATTTCAAAATCATAATACTAGAGTAAAAATGAGGAAAACGAATTAACGCATATTTGGAGCAGTGATTGTGATGATTGGAGGAAGTTTTCTGAGTCGAGAGAATACATTTTATTTTTATCTTGGAATGAATAATGAAACCTGTCTATCTCAAAAGAATCATAGAAATGTCTTCTACTTTCGAAATGTTTCGATATTTGTCAATCAAATTCAATTTTTTGGCAACTGTCAACAGTCGCATTCAAGTCATTTCTTGAAGTGAGACGGAATAAAAGAGTAGCAGCCGGAATCGGAAAAGTTGCTGATAAAATGACACATTAAAGTGATTCCGGAGGCGGAATCGGATAAATAAAACGCAACTATTGAAAATTATTATGTTGCTTTGTTTTTGTTCTCGTCTCTTGAAAATATTGGGAGAATATAGAATATTTTCATATGTAATAACCACTAGTGATACTATTTTGCCGGAAATATTCGGCGATTGTTACGACAGCTTGTTGCCTAATAAATTCGCCGAATGGCAATGTTTATCAAAACTTTCAAGCTGTAGGCGAGACGTTTTAGAACAATGTCATGTACGAAATTGAAGCAGCAAGTCGGAGTATGTCAATCGACGAATATCTCCAGGAAAAATAGTATCATGACGAGTTGTATTTGTATGAGTGTTCCATGATTGAGACAATAAACGAGCGGCTTGCGAGAGGTGCGCACATTGCATTCATCATGCTGGCTTCCAACATAATTGACGTTTTAAACGTCCAAAATCAACAGTAAAAACACAAGAGCTTTTTTTATCGAAGACCGTAGGTCGAGCAATTTTGTCTAGCGATTCTAATTTTTATCAAAAATCGAGAAAGTAGCAAGGGGTTAATCTTGATTCGTTATACTACAAATTGGAATTCTGAATCGTCCTTGAGCCCTAATGATATGTGATACAGGGTGTTACATTACTGATTGGAAATATTTCACCTATAGTGGTGAGCTCAAAATATGACAATTTCACCCAAATCACCAAGATAAAATGTGTCTCCTGTCTCAGTTACAGGGTGTTTTATCTGAGAATTCCAAAATTATTTGTGCCTAGTACTTTGAAACTAATAGACGACATATTTGGCGGGAAGGGTGTGGCTATACTATACACCCTCTACTGAATTATGTAAAACAAAAGTTTCTGGCTACTATACCATCAGAAGCGTGTACGAATGGGGCAAGTGACTGGTTGATCCTTCCCAAACTCAACGCCACAGGTGGAATTGCCATTTTATCACAATTTTTCGATTTTTTAATACCTTTTACGTAAATATCGTACTCCATCGTAGCCATAATGTTAAATTATTTTAAGATAAATTTCAAGTCAGGAATATGGAGCCGCACAATTATTTTTATTTTCATGTTTATTAATAAAGATCGTTGTTTTGCATCATTGGATTGCATTCATTGCGCAAATGAAAGTTTAATATAATATATTAACGAAAAAAACCCATCGGATTTCGAATTCTTGAATGAAATGAATAATAAACAGTAGACACATTTTATCTAGATGATTTGTGTAAAATCATCATATTTTGTTCTCAGGATTTTTTAGCTGAAATATTTCCAATTTGTAATGAAACACTCTGTATTTTATGACATACCATTAATTTTTGTCACAATGGGAAAATTACTTCAGAATAAAAACTCATCTATTTCCAAAAATATTGCTCATCAACATTACCTTCAAGTTCCGTGATATACCTACGTCAAAATAATTGTCAACTCTCCAGAAATGAATCGAAAACTTGAACTATGTAGGTATTTTATTCAATGTAAAAATGTTACAAAATTATTTCATATCCAATGGTTATTTATTTTATTTATACAAACAATTGCATCTATACAAGATCCATAGCACACTGTTCTGGCACACCTTGAAGGGATAATATACTGAGAAGCAAAAAAAAACAACTAGAAAAAAATTACCAAATTGGTCGCCCTGTTACCTCTCTCAATTTTCCTCCGATGCTGATGAAATTTATGTTTTGAAATCTTAGTTTAGAATAAATACCCAACGAAGGCTGTTAGCTTGTTCAGTATACAGGGAAAAACAAAAGTTACTTTTTCACCTTTGATTCTTGAACTACCCTGTATTTGTTTCAATTGAATGTCAGTAGATAGTAAATCAAAAGTTAATACAGGGAGATGTGAGCCGTTTTGACCAATAATAAATAATTTCTACACAAAAAAATTCCCAAGTTGAAAAATCTTGATTTTGAACACATCCTCTATATTTCCGTAATAATGGGCGATGGACTGATATTGAATCATTGGCATTCAATTACTCCACTGTGTCATTATAGGAACCCACATTAATTTTTGCAACACTTCTCACTCTTTTTTTATGTAAATAATAAGTCAGATTATCTTCCCTTTCCACTCATGAAGCAAGGTTGTCAAGTCACCAATCATAATCAAGTTATCAAAAAGATGTTTGGGTCCTGTCGTTGAATAAAACATAATAGGAGGGACTCATGACATTATAGTTCATTCTTGACTTCTTCGAGCAACCAGCATGTCCAAATATTTCTTATTCTCCATAACAAAATATCATGTGAATGTTAGAGACTTGGCAACATTGTGCTGAATGCTGAGAACTGAAAAGACCACGCCCACAAGTCGTGCGCGGGGTTGTCGCGTTCTCCGATTCAAATGTCCTCTAGTGTGAAATAATATAACTATTATTTACAGAAATTTATTATAAGCAATAAGCCACAAATCATAAGGTAACATTTTGAGACAATTGAATTTTTATTACTAACTAGGAATATTACCAATACTCAATTGAGAATTTATGCATTATTGAATAACTAATATTTCTGGAGTTTCCAATCATATTTCAACACATAACAACTGTGCTATGGTGTGCCCCTATTTACGAAATCGTGACGTCATCAGTTTTTACTGGCGGTAAAATTTCTAGCCGTTTGGGAATTACCGTGGCGTTATTGATGATTCTAGCACCTACAAATCGTCCGAAAGATTCTTATAAAAATATTAAATTGAAAGGTTTTCGAGTGATGATTCCATTTGAGAAATAAAAAAAAAATTAGTATACTTGCCTATTCCCGCTTACCACAATTGTGATGCATAATAAATTTGTTATTTATTGCTAGGTACATCTTGATAGAAGTGAAAACGCCGCAGCGCTGATTAGTACATTATACACCTAGGGACTGAAGTGGTATTTTAAATCCCGAGACAAAAGTTTACTTTCTTTAAACACTCGTATCTTCTCCCAAAAAATAGTAGATTGTTTTATTAGGATCAAAAGTGACACTTTGTTTGACAAGCGAATTTTGCATTTGCGAGGCGGAGCGTTTAGCGAAGCCGAGCGAAAGCAAAATTTGATTATTCAAAAACAAGTTATCCATCCCGAGAAAAACGAATGAAATACAGATCAAGCAAGTATTTGAATCTTGAAGGCTTCCCTGATCAAACAAAAATACTTAGCTGAGATGTTTATAATTTCAATACTTAACTATAATAAGGTGTATTTATAGATTAGTGTAGTATTGATTAGTGCTAGATATTTATGGACCGAGATTATTATTATTTTTTTCTGCAACCGACACAAAAGTCGTCCATTTTGATACCAAAATTAGCTCTCAAATTGACGTTTCTATTACAGACACAAAAATAGGTAAGTTGCTAGGCAACATATTTAGTTCCTAGGAGCTAAAGTTGAATTTTAGTTCCTAGGAGCTAAAGTTCAACTTTGGCTCCTAGGAACTAAAATTCAACTTTAGCTCCTAGGAACTAAATATGTTGCCTAGCAACTTACCTATTTTTGTGTCTGTAATAGAAACGTCAATTAAAGAGCTAATTTTGGTATCAAAATGGACGACTTTTGTGTCGGTTGCAGAAAAAAGACATTGACGTGAAGCAATAAAAACCGTTTGTGTTAAACAGGGATCACACTTCCCTCCAAACCATAATAAAGCTGAGTTCAACCACTCACTTTTGTCACAGGGCGTTGAGAAGTTAAGGGTGAAAGAGAAACTTTTGATTCTCCTGTATAATGATCAAGCCATGAGCACTTCTTGAGAACCGAAATTCAGTCTCACTAAAATCGAACTAGAATTCAAAAAGTTGCAGGGCGATCAATTTTTTTCAATATTTTGCTAGTATTTTCATTGCCGGTAAATAAACAGGATGTTTTAAAATTCAATATCAAGATTCCAGGTCAAAATAAGACTTTCAACCTATATAATTGTCTGCAAACGCTTCGTTAGTGATTTACAGAGCAGTAAACTTACATTTTTTTTCGTATTTTCCAGCACTTTTCATAAAATGTCAAGGTTCTTTAGGTTTTTTATTCTTCAGGTAATGTTTGGAAACTTATAATTGTGATCTTAATTATAATCTAAATATGTAGGTAGCGTTTTTTGTTTCCATCAAGATAAAATGAAGTTCCTCCCTTTTATCACAGATTTCCCCTAATAACAATTATGTCCGATGGATATCCTTAGGACGTTCTGTCGGGATATTCAGGACCTCTATAGGACGTTCGAATTTGGTACCGCGGACGTCCATTGAACGTCTGTGGGACGCACAAATGTCCCACTTGAGGACCAACTAGAGACGTTCTTGAAGGACAACCTAGCGCTAGGATTGAACAGGCCGCCCGTCCTTTATAGGTCATTCTGCGACGTCATTATGACGTCTGAATATGACGTCTTATGGCTGTGACATTTTGACGTCATTATAGGGTCTCTCAGACGCCATTGCAAGACGTCCACTTCGTAATTTTATGATAAAAAATGACGTCACTATGCTACCTGGGATCATGATATTGAATTTCGAAAAACCCTGTATTTGGAACCAGTTTATTCCGGATTCACGATTTCGTTGCTGGAAATCTTGTGCGGGCCGGGCCCCTTGTTCTCCTTGATTTTATCCTGGACGGTGTGAAAGCTGTCCCTGATCTGATCCAGGGCCGTGCCCAAGCCAGACTTGATCCTGTTGAATTCCTGCGTCACCAGGGACAGCCTTCCCAGTAGGTAGTTGAGGTTTTCGTCGACCTCCGCCATTTTGCCCGTTATTTGGACGACCTGAGAAGAAATAGAAATCAAATAAATACAAGAAGCTCAAATAAGTCATTTCCACATTTTTTTATATGTTCTGTTTCCCACGAAAAGGGATATTATCCTGTAATGTTCAGAGAACATCGTGAGAACCAAGGGAAATAAGGTAGGAATTGGTGTTCTTCTCAAATTTCTGGAGCTTATATGCCTCGGGGAATATCTTCCTTGGCAATATGTTCCAGAGCCTCGCTGTTCGTTGGATGAACGAGTCCTTGGAACGAGATGTTTTGCAGGTCTCCAAAGTGATCACGAAGGGGTACGAAGCCTCAACTCGACGGGTTAATCTCGCGGGGACTGCCAAGGGAGGAACAATTGTTGATATTTCAGAAGAGCATTGTCCATAAAAATATCTATAAAATAGAGCCAGGTCACCTACTTCTTCGCGGTGTTCCAGAGAAGTGAGTAAGTTTGTGAGCGAGGCATCACCCACGAGACGAATTGCCCTTTTTTGGACAGAATCCAACAGTTTCAGGGTATTTTTGGGTGCTGTACTCCAAATATGGGAACAGTATTCCAGCACAGGTCGGATCTGTGCCTTATAGATCATAAGCAGCTGACTGGAAGTAAAATAGCTCCTGGCCGGAAACAGAAAACCAAGTTTTTAGAAAGGTTATTGCTGATAGTAATAGCAAGCATCGAAATGAATGTCTTCAAAGGCCAAAGGTATGGTTTCTCCTGACAAGCTTATGTTGGGCACAATGAGATCGGCTTTCCTAGAGAAAAGGCATGCTTGTGTTTTGTTTGCATTGAAATCTACCGAGTTATTGGATCCATTCGAGAATTGTTGCCAAGTCCATATTTTAGGTTGTCAACATTTCTCCCTCGTTCGTAAAATGAACAACAATAGATTTTGGGAGAAAAACAACTACTTTCCTGGCTAATGCCACGCAGAACATTGAATTACACCTTCCCGAAATCTATGCATCGACTCGTATAAACGATAATACTGATAAAAGTGATTATTTCCTGAATGCCTATTGATTTCGATTTAGCCAGGCCACGCTAAACACCTACAAACCGATTACGAGCTCTTTGACTCTCATCAGTGCAGGGCAGTCTCCAGCCAGCAGTACTGAGACCGCCGACTGAGCGTAGCCTAGCCAAACAAAAATCAAGTCGGCATTATATTCCCTCAGTTGCATCATCCATAGACAATATGTGAGCAACGCCATCTGAGTAGGAAAGAGGGAAAGAAACACTCCAAAACCAAAATTTCCATACGGGAGTGGCTGGTTGCCCGACAGGCGTAATTTCAACTACGAAATAGCCACAAATGCAAAAAGTGAAATGAAATGTTAAATGAATGCAAAAATCTCAGAATGATTTCCACACATTGATAAAAAAAAAGAAAAGTAGTTGTTCTTCTCCCTAAATAATCTATCATTGTTGTTGTTCATTTTATGAACATTGTGTGGAAATGACTGAGCTTTCTGTATTTATTTAACATTTAATTTCTTTTGAGCATTTGTGGCTATTTCGTAGTTGAGAAACAGAAATGTTATTCAGTGTGTCACACATCAACAAACAATACAGGGTGACAACAAACTTCATTGGCCATATTTTAGAATTCTGACATTCGGATCGAAGATATTTCCTTCAAAGTTTAAACCCATATTTCCCATTGAATAAATATTAGTTCACAAAACTGAAAAAAACAGGCTTTCATAGACAGCCTAACAAAAAAGAAATTGAAAATGAAATATTAGAAAAGTGTGTTGATAAATAACTACACGACTTTGATGTTGCTAATATTCTCTATGTTGTATATTTATCAACACACATTTATTGCTTTATTTTCTACTTTTTTTTCAGTTAGGCTTTCTATAAAAGTGTGATATTTTTTGTTTTTTCCTATTTTCTGTAAGTTGGTAATTTGCGGGCCTGTTGCCTTCTATTGATTATTCAACCGTTCATTAGAGTCTCATAGATCACCGACGACTAAAGGTGTTCCTCAAGGATCTGTTTTGGAACCAATGTTAAATTCATTATATAGGATGATTCAGAATTCGATGTATATCCATTTTTTCATGTTCATAATCTATCTGAGAATATTTCTTTTCGATACTTTCACCTAATCAATAGGTTCAAACTTGAACGATATGGAAACTTGTTATCTTTATAAACCTTTGATCGCAGATTCGTGATTAGGTTTCTTCAATTCAGAATTTCTTTCCACGTCTTGTATGGTGGATATCAATTTGTCATACATCCAAAAACATTTTTCTTTTTATTTAAAAAAAATCGTGATTTTTTTAATAACTGCTATACATACCTTTCCTTTCATGTTATCCATGACGTTAAGCGACCCATTCACGTAGGCGTCTGTCTGGTTCTGAAGGTGGTTCAGCGTATCGGTGTTGGTCGTCATTTGTTGGTGCATGATACCGATTTGCCGCCACACTTGATGGATGTCCTCGCCTATCTTCGTGGTGATGTTGGATATCGCTCCTGATTCGCCGTCGAACATCGACGATTCGAACAAGTCGAACCTAAAATATTATAATGACTACCACTCTTGATCTCGAGAACCAATCAGAATCGACCATTTTCACGGTTTCTTCTGTATTCTAGCGATATTTTTTGTTTACTAAATTTTATCGGACTTGCTCTGCCAATACAGAAGCCGAAATGGCCCACACGTGACCAACTAACCTCGTTTATCAGCGATAAAATTTTGACATCGTGTCTGGTCAAGATTGCTTTGGATTCAAATCAGAGACAATAACCTATAAGTTCCTACTTCATTTTATTTACTTATAATTTGCGTTAGTGAGACATTTTGTACGAAAGGCGAGACAATTTTATTCTGGCTGGACGTTTCATGTGTAATTTAAAAGTTTGCATATTTGTCTGACACAACAATACTAGAATTCAAATTCCTTTTTGAAGTAATCTTCTTCAATCACTCAAGTTATTGTGACTGGTATAATTACCAAATGATGTAGCGCAACTGATAGGGTTGTTGCGCGAAGATACGAAGGTATTTCATGTCACATAAATTCAATTAATTTTTTTTTAATTGGATAGCATTTGTATACACTCTTTTGAGAGCAACCATCTCCAAGATGATAAAAAAATAATGTTTATCAAAATTGTACATTCCACTTTGTGCATAACTATAAGTAGGTAGTTAATTTCTAAAAAATTGAATTCTGTATTTCATTACTATCATTATGTTCTTTTTCGCAGTTTGAGTTAGAATATACTTAAACTATGTTTCCTATTTCTTATATATATCGTCTCATTCAATCATGAAATAGCCATACGAATACAACTCGTGATACCAGTTTTCCTGGAAATATTCGTCGATTGACATACTCCAGCTTGCTGCTCTAATTTCGCTCATGACATTGATCCATAACTACCTCGCCTACAGCTCGTAGTTTTGATAACAATGTCATTCACGAAATTACTGGGCAACAAGCTGTCGTAACAATCACCGAATATTTCCGGTAAAATATTATCACTTGTGGTATTATATATGATTATTTTTTTCATTATTCCAGATTTTTTGAGATTTTCTCTCCTCGTTTCTATAACATAAAGATATGAATAATATTTCAATATACGTGTAGTGAGAACAAATCAAATGATTTGCCCCAAAATGTCACTGGCAAGGACGAAGGAACATAAGTACAATATGAAGAAAAGACACATCGACAAATCGAAATTAGCTGAACCATTGTCGATCTAAATGAAAACCTAGTAGGCGACCTAGTACGCGAGGAGGTACAATATTGTCTGTTCTTTGAATCAAAATCTGTCTGCCTGTCAAGTGGCGCTGGCATCCTGAAAATGGAAAAAGCTCATTTGTTTATGTCAAAATAGACCATATTAGGTTGATATTCTCTTCTTCTATTTTTCTCCAATATGTACTCAACCACAGACGTGCTTTCTATCATTGACGTGATATTTGATAGGAAGACGATGAAGAAGATTCACGTAATCATAAAATTATTTTCTGACAGTTGTCATAAACTTATAACTTCGTCTTTGTGAATGTGTTGAACTTTGATTTGCTTTCTTGGAAATTACAATAATTATACCTAATCATTTCTTCTAGTATTGTTTTTTTATCAAAGTTTGTTGATTGGTTTGTGAGTGCGATTGTGTTATTTTGCAATGTCATCTGAAAACTGCGCACTCCAGGAGGTGAAGGTGTAATTATTGTATTATCAAGACATGGTTTCCCCAATCCCCACTGTTGTGATTTTGAGCCTCAAATCCTGAGGGGTTCACGCCATATTCATTGGATATCAAGTTGAACTTTTTTTCTTGAATCGCATAATATTTGAAACTTAATGATATTTATATTTCAGGAATGTGAGTTTTTGAAGTAAGCGAACATGATACTATATGTTTCCAACATTTTAAGGGAACTGTCTCTTGCCAATGAAGAATAGGAAACGGTTTTGGAAAGAGAGTACGGTTCCAAGTTTGTTCAAGGTAGGAATATATAAATAAAATGGTATTTAACAAGTTTGTACCTATACTAACTAACTAATTATATGAAATTTACCAAGAACTTGACTTTGGCTCTTTAAAAGTTGTTCCATAGTCAAAAGTCATTAAATTCATTTCAGAATGGTACAGGACATTGAAACTAGGGACAATATTTTTATATTTTCAGACTCATCAATGTTGTTTGGAATATGATGCTGAAGAGGAATTCCTGCCTTAAGGATCACCACCTAACGATGAAGAAGCATCTGAGGAGGAAACGGGCATTTGAACAGATATTATAGAATGATAATAAATAATAATAACACTTTTAATAATAAAGTTCATTCAGAATGTTGACTTGAATATAAATTAAAATTTAAAAAGATATATATTGGTATTGAATATTCCTGTGGTTTAATTTGTGGCAATAATAAACACATCTTCTCATATTTAGTGAAGTTCGTAGCTTCAATAAGATGATTTAATAAAAAATAATCAATGTTTCACTTCAAAAATAATTTACCTATATACAATATTGGTACAATATATATAGTGTTTTCAAACTTACCTGCTAATACATCTGTACAACAATAAACAGGGTATCAGAAGAGAACAAACTATATAGTAGAATAAAAATTGAAATAATTCCTCATAATTATGTACAATTTATTAAAAAAATTGTATTGCCATTCATTAATACAAGTTATATTCCAATAAAAAATTCTAAATATCCCAGCAACTTGACAAAGAACCCTGAACAATAGAATACCATATATCTGAGGATGATTTCTATACAATCTTGAAATCATTTTACTCTAGTGAAATTCTGAGTGGCTCACTACGAAAATGGTCCTGAGTGTGCTGGAGTGGAATATCACATGTTCCTCATCATCTAATTGATTGCTTGAAAAATAGATAAATTGAATATACATTGGGGTGTGTATAATTAGCAGCCTAGAATGAAATGCTGGGGACTGGCTATTTCCAGCAAACAAATCGTTGTTCTTACTATATGGATTCAGCTCATCGAACTACAGGATGAAAAGTTTCTGATTTTATTCACTGCCCCATTTTCTTGTGTGTTTTTTCATGAAATCTTGTGAACTGGATATTTTTGCAGCTCGACTTTCAAGGACCTATCTATAAAAAATATAATGATATTTTGTGTTTGGAGCAGAATATCCATAAGACATTGATGAAATAACCAGATTGAGTCTAACCTTAGTGCTTCTATATATTTATGGTAAATTTTCCATTCTGTTCTCGAACATCATCATTCTTCTGGTACATTCCTTCTGAACATCACTCACATAATGATTTCTAATGTGATACTTCCACATCACTCATAGTTTTTCGTTTTTCAACTGAAAAGCTATTAATGTAACTACTCTTCGCTGTAGGTAGGTACCTCTGAAATTTTACATCACTAAAGACATATTTTCACTGCAAACAATGGAATTTCATGAATTATATAGTAACTTATCAAAAATATAGAAGGAAATAAGTAGCCCCTACCTTTCTGCTTGGCTTGCATGTCGAAAAAGTGTAATAGCACTATTGAGTTTCCGAAGTTTCCACAGTTCCAACTTAAATTCAAGTTGCATCATAAATCATACTAATACAGCATTTCCTAAACATCTTCCTGCTTCCATTCAAGTATAGGTAGATGATTTTCATACTTGATAATATCTTTCGTGATAATGTTTCATTTTCGGGTTTCAACATGACAGATTTTTATTTACAAACTTGACAGGACCATGAAAAATGTTACGGTTAGGAATAAAAAATGAATAACTTAGTTTACTTGGTTCACATTGATGTCTCTGTACTACTGAACGCCTTCATTTATTTTTTCAAAGAACAGACAATATTATGCTCTCGTCTACTAACTACCTAACTAGGTTTCCATTTAGATCGACAATGGCTGAACATATTATCCTTACTGAAGATGGACAACATATGGCAGAGTAGAATAATATTAAAATTATTGCATTCTTTATTAGTTATTTATATTCATTGTTGTTGATTCATATTTATCACTACCCATAATGTTCCATGCTTTAATAAATACTGTTATGTTTGAATATATAGTCTTGTACTTTCAGCTATTCCCAAACTATTACCTAGTGCCTATTTGAATATTACCTCTCGCAAACTATTAAGCCAAGCAAACCCCTTTTAAATCGATATGGAAGGACTAACCAGACTAACCATCTATTATACCGGGTGTCCCAGTATACATGTTCCAATGGATTATCTCAGTCATTTCGAAAGTAACAAATTTGAAAATTTCATGATCTCTAATTCGTTCAAGGAACCTTCAACTGAGAAACACGAAAATTGAAAGTCACTTCCGGTTTGACCGGAAGTGACTCTAACTTATTCATTTCAAATAGCATCCTGTATATTTTTTGCAATTTTTGCTTTCTACTCAAAATTGCCTTTCCAACGATGTATCACACTATGTATTTTACATTTGATATGATGAAGAAAACGACAAATTGAAATTTGGAATTAAAATCAGTATTATATCCAATTTCTCTTGAATTGTGAAGTTATCATATCATTTTCACGGTTATTCATTCTTGAATGTCGCACACAACCATTGAGAATTATTAACAACTGTCGAAGATACAAAAAATGTATTCAAATGTTTCCATGGCACACTAAGGTTTTCATTTAAGAATTATTAATTCTTCCAGTTCTACTACATATTTCTATAATAATTTGAAATTTGACGATCTCTTCATCATCTCGAATGCAAAATTGTTCATGAATCATCAATTATTATTGAGGAACAAATCATTATGCACACAAAATATCGTAGTCTACTGCAATTCTTTCGATTTCAAATTTCAATTTTCGTTTTTCTCAGTTGAAGGTTCCTTGACCGAATTGGAGATCATAAAATTTTCAAATTTGTTACTCTCGAAATGATTGAGATAATCCATTGGAACAGGTATACTGGGACACCCGGTATAGTGACAATACAATAAAATTTTCAATTATATCATCACGAGAGCTTCAATTATTTCCGTAAATTTTTTCGAGAACACGAATATTTTGAATTTTCTAAATATTCGTGTTCAAGAAAAAAATCCCGGATATTAATTGAAGCTAAAGTGGTATTCGGTGAGAAAATTTCACACTGAAATATTATATTGCAAGTATACCTACATATAATATTATATGGTGAACTGTTGATAAATGATTTTTATTTATTGACTTATAGAATGAACCCGAGATAATCTGAAGTTGAATGTAAATGTCATTCAACCTATAAACGTCAAAAAATTTCCAGTGTGATTTCATGCTCCGTCCCCCAAAGAGGAGGAAAACATTTCCAAGAAATTTGTTAAGTTGCTGTGGTAACGATACGAAATACAGGCTTCGAATTGATCGAAAATGTTTGGTGTGAAATTTTCAGAATAATATGAGGCTAGGTAGGTCAGAAACGTCTAATTGTCGCTCATCGTGAAAAACCCTGTATATCGGTAACAGATATGCACTTGATTCTCTGCCCATGATTCCGCAAAGCTATCCCCACAATTCGTCATCCAATAATTTATATTCAGCGTTTAGGATCATCAACATAAAATTTCTCGTGATTCATGAATGAATAATCGCGGTATCATTCTACTGTTATGTCACATACCTGTCACTGACTGCTTGATTGATGTCCTTGGTGCTGTCTTTGATCTGCGAAGCGACTTCTGCCAAAATCTGGTGGACGCCATATTCAACACGACGTTTCGTATCGAGGATGCTGTCGGCAGTTTGCACCATCACCTGGTTCACCTTGCTCAGAGCCTGTGTAATAATCATACGAGAAAAAAAAATCGAGATAAGAGCTCTGGAAGGGAGAATGGAAATATTGGAAATTTCCGAACGTGTCTCATGAATATTAATTTTGTAACTCCATGAGCACTAAACTTACTACACTGAGGAAAATCCCTATCAACCATAGTCAGACATCGAATTACCCCAGCAAGAAACCCTAATAGCATAGGGGACAGGCGAGTTATCACCTGTGATTATAAAGTCGACTTTGCTGATTATAACCCATCGAACAGCACTTTATCAAGACTCCTTCATCCATAGAACGGCTAGGCTCTGGAATTCATTGCCTGTGGAAGTATTCCCAACAACATATAATCTCCAGAAGTTCAAAAAAAATCCAATACCTACCTCCAGTACCTATTCTCCCTAGGAACGCACGATGCATGTTCTTCAAACATTATAGGGATTCCCTTTCGTGCGCTCCAAGCGATAAAAAAAATTAAATATAGAACCTTGCTGCCACTAGCGAGTGCATCAGTATATTGCTATTGGACGATGTTTCTGTAGTAGGTATCTGACTCTGCTACCGCTAGTGAGTGCATCTGATAATGGGAGTAGGGCAATGTTATAATCGTAGGTAGGGAACTTTGCTACTCTTGATGGGTGATCATATAGATAGTTGCATGACCATCTTGCTGTAGTTATTCAGTTATTTTCCAGGATTGTTGTCATCAAGAAAGGTGAAATTTTGTGAATAAAGCTTATTTTCAGAGTGTATCGTCTATGTTCAAGCTTCAATAAACCGAATTAATTTTTAAGTGGGTCATAAGATGAGTGATTTAGGAATCTAACATATAGTAATGATATTTCCCTTAGAGGGGTTTTAGAAACATCATCAGTAAGACAGTAGTACAACGATCATCCTGTATCACGCATCCCAGATTGTTCTCCAACCTCCCAATGATTCCTACATACCCCACCATATTTCCGAACACTCAATATATGCCGCAGTGACAAATAACGTCACAGAAGATTCTGGAATGTTCTGGAAACAATAGATGGAACAATTAGAGAGAGGTTTTGTTCTAAGAAGCTTCTAGAACAAAAAGAATGAGACGGAAGATCATTCGAGAACGTTCTCGAACCGAAGCCTGCCAAGTGATCTCATATATAAACGGCCGAACAACTGCTGTCAGTCAGTTAAGCAGCGAGTGTCAGAGAGACAGTTATATACCGCGTGATATAAATCGTTTTACATAAATAGTAGTTATAAGTTCGATATAAATTAGTGTTTCTTTAGTTTAAATAAATCAGTTCGAAAATAAATAGTGTCGTGTTCGCTTCTGCGGCCGAATAACATAACAATATTTTTGTAATACAAAAATGAGATGAATTTGTTTTGTACAGTTTCCAGACTTTTTTCAACTTGTTTTTACCTGGGTCCCAGATTATGGCAGCAAATTCCAGTCGACTTCGAACAAAAGTGAAATATAGGGCTTGAATCGTATATACGGATATTCTTTAATTCATAGGTGGATCGCTTGACAAATCCCAAAATTTTTTGTGCTTTTCGTACAGTTTTCACTATATGTTTTTCGAATTATAAGGATGGTTGAAAGGTGACTCCCAAATCCACAATTTCGCAGCATCTTTCCAGCTCTTGATTATAAATAAAATAACTGAACTGTTGAACATTTTTCGACTCAGAGAAGCTCACAACGTAACATTTATTCAGATTCAGATGTCAATTTTTTTCACATCAATCATGAAGATCATGAAGATCGTTTTGTAATAGTGCATTATCAGACTGATCAGTGATTTTCCTAAAAATTTTACAGTCATCTGCGTACAACAGACTTGATATGAGATCAGTAAGATCATTGATGAACAATAGAAATGGAAGGGACTCGAGTTAGAACCTTGAGGTACACCAGACTTTGCAAGAAATTTGTCAGATTCCTTTCCTCTATACAAGACGAATCGGATTCTAATGAACAGATAGTTTGTTAACAGTCCTATAAATGAATCACTGAAAGAATACATACGATGTTTACTCATCAGGATAAAATGGTGTCCACTCGCTCCTCTATCATGTTGGTGAAATGTTAGAAAATATGCTAAATTTGTTTCAATCGATCTCTTTGCATAAAAACCATGTTGAGACACGAGATACTGTTTTGTACATGCCAGAAATTTTTTTGATATAAAATAAATTCGAAGAGTTTGGCAATATCATCGAGTATAGCAATAGGTCTGTAGTTTGTGATTGAGGTTTTCTCATTATTTTTGTGGATGGGTGTCAGTTTGACCTCCTTGAATATGTGCGGAAATATTCCTGTTTGTATAGTGAGTTCTGAAAAATTATCATTATATCGGGTACATTATGTAATCTTTGCAAGCTTTGATAATATTGGATAGTATGCCATAACACCCAGAAGATTTTTTTGGCTTCAGTTTTCGATAAGCATATTCCATAGCGGATATGGTAATATGTGATATTTTGAAAATTTCTTCGATTCTCAATTCATTCTCATCATATTTATTAAAACCAGAAGCATCTTCGTATACCGAGGCGGAATAGTCTGCACAAGGTGAAGCAATTTTTTTGGGATCACTTGTTTTTCCGTTTTCAAGAAAGAATTGAGAATTGGAATCTCTATACTTTCGCTTTTTAGAGTTAACGAAAATTCCAAAATCCAGAAGTCCTGTGCATATATTATGAAATACCCTGTATACTAACCTGAATTTCGTTGAGTATTTTTCCATAGTTAGTTGCGAAACTGTCCGCCATTGTTGCCGTTATCTCAGACAGCTCGTTGACGTTTTTCATCGCCTCAACTTGATTGGCATCGGAGTTGGCATTGATGTCTCTGACGGCGTTCGTAATCAGAGTTGAGGTTATGTTCGGATGCGCCGCTATTTCCGATTTGATCTCCTGCAGTTTTTCCAAGGTCACGTTCTGCAGGGCGTTCAGGTCGTAGCTCTGCGGGAGATCGTTCAGTTTGGATCTGACGTTTTTCACGTCCGAAAGGACTTCTTTCACTTGCGATTTTTGGCTGTCCAAAGCTGTGAATAATTATAGCTGTCTATGAAATATGTTTTCCTACGACTACTACAGTAAGTGATGGATATTGTACACAAAACAATGGCAGTAAGCTTCTCCTTACACACGTGTGCGTAAAGAGAGCGATCGCACAGTTCTCATAGGTATGTTGATAGATGACTTTGTTTTGTTGCTTAGGCGATGTGTCAATAACAATTAACAATTTCATTGATGTCACTAGCTAGGTGGGTAGGTACTTATATCTTTTTATCAATCAATCCAGCTATCCACCGAAACCGAAAGCATCAGGTAAGTTATATTTTTTGAAAATATGTTTATTTTATATTGTTAATCCTCAATTTCAGTTAAAAAAAATGATGTCAAGCGATGACGATGAGCAGATTATTTCTACACCACCAGAAATGTTGGTAAAAATGAGTTGCTACCTGCTAAGTCTCGTGAATGATACGAAAAATAGCACATCAAAAATTCCTGGACTAGCGAGAATTAGAAATAATACCGTGTCATTTTCGGAAAATATCCTTTTAGTATATTTTCAAGAATTGTCAAATTCGATGAAATCATCATCACTCTGGTCGATATATTCCATGTTACGATCAACACTAAATATCAATCACAATATTAATATAGCAACATATCCCATTTCCTCAAAAGGAAAGGATGGATTCCGAAGTAAAAAATCAAAAATACTTTATGCTGAACAGATCAATTATTTTCTGCAGAATGCTCCTGTTGAAGGTAATTTTTCAAATAACATACATACTTCCTTTTTCTTTAAATAATAGGAATAATTAAAAAAGATCAATTTTCGAAATTATATTTATAAAATATCTACTAATATGGAGAAATGGTGATAGCTCAGTTGTTGGAATGGCTCCGAACTCAAAGGTCGGTGGATCAGAGCGCAATTGGGGAACTTTTTTTATTATTTTCAATAACGATTTCAGAATCTCTCGTGCTGCATTGTTACAAATAAATAACCATTATGAATGTTAATTTCATATTTTTATACAATGTGTTTTTTGCTACCTATTAATAAAGCTGTTTAGATATAAAACGGCTCCATTTCAGTTGGAATTGAGGAAAATGTCCCGGTATGCGATGTATTAATGAACAAACACAAGAATTATGATTTGTAACTTTTCATGCAGCTGGCTTAGTGACGGGAGACGTTTTATATTGGTATTCGTTATTTGTGCCTTAATACAATATCTGCACTATCCGGAAAAAATATAGTGTAGTCGTAGAAAAAGTATAGTGCAATCCTCGAGTTGTAAAGCAATTGCGCACTTGTAGAGTTACACACTCGCCGCTATGCGGCATCGTGTGTAACTCTCTCCACTTCGTGCGTAATATTCGTTTTACAAGTCTTGTTATGTAATATACTATTACCTACGACAACTGTAGGAAATAGGTAAGAACACACGATACACAGCCCTAGTAAGTAGCTCATTGCGCACGGTAAGCAACCCAGACAGCACTGGACATTACCTAAATATGCTAGAAGAGAAGAATATATTACGAATATCCTCCGAATATTATATAACGAATATCCACCGAATATTCCTAGAATACTCCAAAATAATAGAACAAGAAGAGTTTCAGAAGGAATATCCAAGGGTGAATATTCTAGGAGTGTTCCCAACTGAATATTATGGTATAAAGGGTGTTTTACAGGTGAATAAGGGAAATATTTCAATGGTAGATAGGGGTTACCAAGGTGGTTCTGAAAATACCATATTTGATAGGTCTTTGAGTCTTCATAACGGAGATACAGGGCGATTTATCGATTTCGAATAATTATTCATTCGCCTATATGTATTGACCTACCCAGTTCATTTATCTAAAATTTGGTATGGAGCATATACTTGGGACGTTGAATGCATTCACCTATCCGGCGAAGTAAAAATCTAGGTTCGGCTTCAGGAAAAATGTTCATTTATTCGAAATATTAAAATAACACACTATATGTAATAATTGACAAAGTTCATCAAAGGAATCGTGAAGAGGAGGAAAAACTGAACTGGATTTGATGCTTTTTGTTTTCCCGCCACCAATTCTCATCGTAACAATCATAAACAGAAAGCTGAAAGTATAACAATTTGAAGAGTATTGAAATGTCAATCATGATTATTCGATATATTTCAGTCAAAAGTCGCTCGAAAGAACTTACTAAGTCTCACAGTTTTTATAACGGAGATGCAGGGTGAATTATCGGTTTTGAATAATTATTCACTCGTCCATAAGTATAAAACTACCCACCCAGTATCATTTTCTCAAATTTGGTATGTAGCTTACTTGGGACGATGGATTCATTAACCTATCAGGCGGAATGGAAATAATACCAAATAATTATAATTCGATAATTCACCCTGTATCTCTGTTATAAAGACTATGAGACTTTTCCTGAAGCTGAAGCTGTATTTCCATTCTGCCTGATAGGTCAATGAATCCATCGTCCCAAGTAAGCAAAATACCAAATTTGAGAAAATATTACTGCGATGGGTAGTTTAATACTTATGGACGAGTGAATAATTATTCGAAGCCGATAATTCACTCTGTATCTCTGTTATAAAGACTGTGACACTTAGTAAGTTCGAAATGAAAGTGGTTTCATAATTTTAATACTCTTGAAATTGATATACTTTTGCTTCCTGTTCATGATTGTTAAGATGAGAATTGGTGGCGGGAAAACAAAAAGCATGAAATTCAGTTCAGTTCTTCCTCTTCTTCACGATTCCTTTGATGAACTCTGTCAAATATTACATACAGTGTGTTATTTCAATATTTCGAAAAAATGTGAATTTTTCCTGAAGCCGAACCTGGATTTTCACTTCGCCCGATAGGTGAATGAATTCAATGTCCCAAGTATAAGCTCCATACCAAATTTTAGAAAAATATACTGAGTAGTTCAATACTTACAGACGAATGATTAATTATTCGAAATCGATAAATCGCCCTGTATCTCCGTTATGAAGACTCTAAGACTTATCAAATATGGTATTCTCAGAACCACCTTGGTGACCCCTATGTACCATTGAAATATTTCCCTTTATCTGTGAAACACCCTGTATAAATACAAAAAGCTCAGTCATTTCCACACAATTTTCATAAAATGAACAACAATGGTAGATTTCGGGAGAAAAATAACTATACTTTCCTGGCTAATGCCACACAGAACATTGAATTATATCCTCCGGAAATCTATGCATCTACTCGTATTTTTTTTATGGTCTGGTTCCCACGAAAAGGGATATCCTGTAATGTTCAGAGAACATAGTGAGAACCAAGGAAAATAAATTAAATTTGTGGAGGTTATATGCCTCGGGGAACACCTCCCTTGGCAATGTGTTCCAGAGCCTCGCTGTTCGTTGGATGAACGAGTCTTTGGGAAGAGATGTTCTGCAGGACGTCAAAGTGACCACGAAGGGGTGCGAAGCCTCAACTCGACGGGTTAATCTCGCGGGGACTGCAAAGGGAGGAACAATTGTTGATATTTCAGAAGAGCATCGTCCATGAGAATATCTATGAAAAAGAGCCAGATCGCCAACTTTTCTACGGTGTTCCAGAGAAGTGAGTGAGTTTGTGAGCGAGGCATCACCCACGAGACACGACTTGCCCTTTTTTGGACAGAATCTAACAGTTCCAGGGTATGTTTGGGTGCTGCACTCCAAATATGGAACAGTATTCCAGGATAGGTCTGATCTGTGCCTTATTGATCATAAACAGCTGACTGGAAGTGGAATAGCTCCTGGCCCGAAACAAAAAACCAAGTTTTGGGGATGCACTTTCAGCAATGGATCTCACGTGATTTTCCCAAGAGAGGTTATCGCTGATAGTAATCCCAAGCATCAAAATGCATGTCTTCAAAGGTATGGTTACTCCTGACAAGCTTATGTGAGGCACAGTGCGATCGGATTTTCTAGAGAAAAGGCATGCTTGTGTTTTGTTTGTATTGAAATCTACCAAGTTATGGGATGTTGCCAAGTCCATATTTATGTTGTCAACATTTCTTCCTCGTTCGTTTCTGATTTGCCTGGCTGGTATTGGAGCCCTGGAACAGAAGACGGTATGGAGGGTACCATCATCCGCGAAGCTGTGTACTGGACATAAAGTTGCTCCCAACAAATCGTTGATATGGAGTAGAAATAGTGTTGGTGCTAGAATTGATCCTTGCGGAACACCAGCATTTATGATAAGAGAGTCAGATGAAACTCCGTCGACCACTACATGGAGAGACCTGTTTGAGAGAAAACTAGCTAGCAGAGAACATAGCTGGGGAGGCAAGGCATGAGATGATAAGTGAAATACTGGATAATTATTTATTCACATTTGTCAAGTGTGTCATGGATAGCAATGATGCATAATATTTTGCAATTATTCTTTTCGAATCTTCTTTGGAAAACAGAACACTTACTCCACTTTCTTTTACTGTCTCCTCGTGAGACTTATTATGTCACTGTCATTATCTAAGTGTTTTGTTTTCCAAAGAAGACTCGAATAAAAATAGCTGCGAATATTATACATCATGGCTATCCATGGCACAATTGACAAATGTGAATATATAAATATCCAATCCAGTATTCCTCTTGATTATATTGAATTTATGTTATTATTTTCAATCCAATCGCAAATAAATTAGTAGTTATCATTAGATTTGTCAAAAAATCCTCTCTTCAAAAAGTGGTTATCAAAAATTGGTTGCCATTCGAAAAATAATAGTTAGACACGGAAATGTGATTTTATCAACTTGTCTTCTTCCTATCTATCATACTTGTCACTCAAGTCACTGAAATTTTGCGAGTATAATTTTCTGACATCACCTGATGAGTTCCTTAGATAAGTTTAAGTCCGATCACATCACCTGATGAGTTCCTTAGATAAGTTTAAGTCCGATCACATCACCTGATGAGTTCCTTAGATAAGTTTAAGTCCGATCATGGCCACCTAGATGCAATATTAAAATTGACTAAAACAGTTGAGTAAGCGCTTGAACTTCTGAAAATGCCATTAACTGAATTCTGATTCAGAATTGTCTCAGGAATTCAAAAATGTTATAATATACAGTGTGTTCCTTTCGAAAATTCAAAACCGGATCCATTTCCGGTGGAACCGGAATTGACCGAGAAATGAAAAATATGCAAAAACTTCTTCATATACTTACCATATACCCATATCAATTTCAATCCCAATACACAGAATATTCTACAAGTTATGGCTTGTGTAATAGATTCGTTCACAGCCTGTATAACACTATATATATTTTATCACTTTTGATTTCATAATTGGAATATATCGATGAGTTTTGAATGATGAATCTTACACAGGAAAAACGCATTTTTTTAACAATGCATCACGAATGGAAATCGGTGAATTTCCAAAAAAGTTATCGCATCTTGAAGTACGTTAAAAATTTGAGTAGCACACTAGTTCCTTTGAGCACTTTAGAATCTTTACCTATCAAAAAATTATTTCTCCATTCGTCTTGTTCCTTGTAATTCGGCAAAGGAATTTCTGGAATCTTGTTATTGTATTCAGCCAATTTGTTCTCGTATTTTGCCAGCAATTGCTCGCTGGTATCCAGATGCCTCTTCACCTTATCCAGGTTCTCCGATGATTTATTATTGATGTCGTTGAGATTCGTATTGTCTTCCCTGATTTTGTTCAGTTCACTTTCCATCTTCTTTACGGTTGACGTTACTTTATCCATCTTTTCCAAAACGTCTTTCTCCATTTTCTCGAAGTCTTTCTTGGACATCACGGGTTCCATTATTTGGGCAGGGGGCTCTTGACTGGCAATCTGTAAAGAAAAAACACAACTTGATTTATGTAAAGTGCTCAAAGAAACAAGTGAACCACTGAAATATTTGACAATTCTCAAATCTCTCAATAGCTTTTTAGAAAATGAATGGATTTTCAATCGGGATGCAGTGCTTGGAAGATGCGATCTTTCTGTTCAAGATTCCTTGTTCAAAACTCATTGGGAGTTTTTCTGTCATTATACACCAAGTGTTCAAAAAAAGTATCACAAAAATGAAAAAATTCAAACGCTTCCGTATTCCAGGGAATTTTTTTTATTTTTCTAACAAGCGTTTTTTCCGAACTTTCAGGCCAATATCTCGAAACGGTTTTGTAATTTTCCATATTTTTCATGTAGGAAGTTGAAAATCGATGATTTCTCATTTTTTGTTTTTTTTCGCATCATTTCCGATTTTAAAATTATGCAAGTCACATTCAACGTATCTTGCCACTCTATACGATAGAACGCATCCTAGAAAATGGATTCATATTGCGTTGATATCATCGACAACTTTAACAGATGAAGAATTAATTTTTTTTTAGGAATGTTCAGAATTTGGTGAAATCGTCTGTTCAGTTTGGCGCTGCCATAACCATATGCTATGCTGAACACAAATCCTTCATTTGGATCGATTGCTCTGCTCAGTATCTCGAATTGATTCCGTGATTTTTCAGATAAGGCAATGCAAGGGGGCACAAGGAGGCCCTTCTGGATTTTTCTGACCAATTCATACAATAACGATGCTACGATGGTTTTAAGATTTTCCTGAGCTGACATGAAATCAAGAAACCTATTTATTACAAGGTTTTTCATCGCGTAATCGAAAATCAATCGAAAAAGTCGTTTTTCTACAAACGCTTAACAAAGTAGCCTTTGACGCTCTCAAATTCCAGCACAAAGTTGACGTTTTCCCAGAAATGTCATTCTTTGACAGCATTTGCGCTCGTGAGCGGAAATATTGAAAAAACGCTCGCACATCTCTGTAACCTATACTTATATCTATTCTTGAAAACCCCCAATTCTTTCATGAGGTAAAATAGTGACAGTGAATCATCAAACACACCTCCTTCCTGATGATATAGCAGAAAGCGCAAGAGTTTCAATCTCTTACCGGTGAAATCAAGGAAGAAATATGAATTACAATATGATACATTCATAAATTGGTGCCACTCCGAGATGGTGAATATGTATACAGAAAACGTTTTACTGGCTTATTTTGGTAAAAAATCAAAGACTTTGAAGTCATCAACTCATTGGTCTATATATTCGATGGTACGTATACATGCTTGAATGTTAAAGATAATATCGGAATCAATAAGTACTGAAACTTATCGCATTTCTCAAGAAACAATCTATTGGTTATAAAGCGAGAAAAATCCAAAACATTCACCGCTGAAGATATATTATACCAACAAACTTCTACAAGAAGCTCCCGATGAAGCATATCTGTTGAAAACGATCAGAAAGACAGTATATCTTTATTTTATCGCATCAATGAGTAATGTTCAATTTGATTGCAGAGTTTATCGTACTATATGGCTCAGAGGTCTGAAGCTCAGGTTGCCACGCTGGTGGTCCAGTTTCAATTCTCGGTAGGCCCGACATTTTTTTTCTAACTTGTCAGTTATTTCAATTTTTCTTTTTTTGTTTCCTTTGGACATATGGATAAGAAGTTTCTCAATCATTTCAATCGCTCATACTTTCAGGGTAGTTACTTCCAAAAGCTGCGTTAGTAGAAAAAATCTTGTGTGTATTTCGAGCACAAAGTGTTATTGCCGCTCTCCAATGATTGTCGAGCGGCAATCTATCACTTTGCGCTCTAAATACACAAATAGTAGATTGTTTTATTAGGATCAAAAGTGACACTATGTTTGACAAGCGAATTTTGCATTTGCGAGGCGGAGCGTTTAGCGAAGCCGAGCGAAAGCAAAATTTGCGAGTCGAACAAAGTCACTTTTGATCCGAATGGAACATGCTATTTTTTCTGCAACCGAAACAATGAACACAAATAAAGATGTGAAGTAACCACCGATGCCGTGCCATATGTATGCAATACAAATATTGACAAATAATCCATGTAATGAGAATATTCTACCTGCATTTACAGCAGGTTAGGTTTTCTAGGATGTTCGAATTGTAGTTTCAATATAAATACAACCACAGAGTAACATATTTGTGTATGGACCAGGTGCTCTAATGGCAAATACCGCGCCAGTGCCAGCTATAGGAACAAGACGTGGAAAATGTTAGGTTAGTGAGCATATCAACAATGATAATGATGATTATTTATTCCTCTCCATACTATACTACACACTAACTACACTGTGTTTGACTTGATAATCGAATGAAGCTAGACAATATGGTTGTTTGAGACAAAAAAACTATTGCTTGCCGTGATTATTCAAAAACAAGTTATCCATCACGAGAATAACGAATGAAATACAGCTCAAGCAAGTATTTGAATCTTGAAGGCTTCCCTGATCGAAACAAAAATACTTAACTGAGATATTTATAATTCCAATACTAAACTATAATAATCTCGATAATAATTCATTATATTTATATCTCAAGCATGGGTATGAAATGCCAAATCTGCTGAAATCGGAAACAAATCAGGTATGCGTCTCAACCCAAATAACTAACCGTCACAATGTTGTTTATTCTTGATGACGTCCAGTACATCCTTTTTAGTTCCTAGGAGCTAAAGTTCAACTTTAGCTCCTAGGAACTAAAATTCAACATTTGCTCCTAGGAACTAAATATGTTGCCTAGCAACATACCTATTTTTGTGTCAGTAATAGAAACGTCAATTTGAGAGCTAATTTTGGTATCAAAATGGACGACTTTTGTGTCGGTTGCAGAAAATAGCTATTTTATTGTAATCGACACTCATTTACGCAACTAATACCAGTGCAACACCCGATGATGATAGTTGTCGAAGGTTCGACAGGAGGCATTATCTTGGGTGTTGCAATGGTATTAATTGCGTAAATGAGTATTGATAACAAGAAATCGACCTTTTAGATTGATTTCCGATTACGCGATGGAAAATCTCGTGATGAATAGGTTTCTTGACTTCATGTCAGCTCAGGAATATCCTTCTTGCACCCCCTTGGATTGCCTTATCTGAAAAATCACGAAATCATTCGAGATATTGAGCAGAGCAATCGATCCAAATGAAGGATTTGCGTTCAGCATAGCATATGGTTATGGCAGCGCCAAACTGAACAGACGATTTCATCAAATTCTGAACATTTCTTAAAAAAGAAAAAATTCTCCTGTTAAGGTTGTCGATGATTTCGACGCGACATGAATCCATTTTCTTGGATGTGTTCCATCGTATAGAGTGGCAAAATACGTTCAATGTGGCTTGCATAATTTTAAAATCAGAAATGATGTGATAAAAACCTAAAAATGAAAAATCATCAATTTTCAACATCCTGTATGGAGAATATGGAAAATTACAAAACCACAACAACAACACTGCATTCCGATTGAAAATCCATTCCTTTTTCAAAAAGTTATGACAGTTTGAAAATTGTCGAAAATTTAGAACTTAGCACTTTAGAAACTTCACATTTTGACCAACGATAATAGTGGTTTAGCTACTTACTTACTAATAATTTTCATACTCGAAGAATGGGCGAGAACACAAAATGCATGAATTGAATTTTCAAATGTACAGGGTGGCTGAAATTACAGCCTTATCATTGGGATCTCGTGAACCGTAAGAGATACAGGATCGGTCAAATGATAATAAAGTTGCGCAATTTTACTCCTAATAAGAAGTCGTTTTGAGAAAAAAAAATGAAATTTTATAAATTCTAACAGAAATTATTCGCAATGGATGTGAACTCATCATGAACACTATTTCTTTCCTACAAATTGGTGCTATCAAATTTGGAATCCGACCTCTCGTCTTCCAGAAACCATCAACTTATTTTTTTTTCTGTGACGGGAAAAAGTTTGGCATTTCATCTCTGTTGGCAAGTTATAAAATGTCACTTTTCATAAATTACTTTTTTCCCGTGGGGAAAAAAATTAGTACTTTTTTCCCGGATATACAGTCTGTCCAAGATAAGGTTGAACAGCATGAGGATCTCGGAAACGGTAGGAGATACGAAGTCGCTTAAATGGGGAAAAAGTTGCGCATTCGGAGGCTCATATCAAGAGCCTTCGAAAATTTTGAAAATTATTTTCAGTTTTTGAGTTATATCGAAAAAAGTGAATTTTTGGAATTTCTATTTCATTTTTTTTCTCCGTTATTATCAGAGATACAAAAAAAATGAAAATATTTTTTCATTGCAACTTTTGATGAAGTTTAACGTGGTGATGCCGATTTTTTCATGCGACGTTTCGTATTCGTGGAACCATCATCAACTTTTGTTTTTTAAATAAGGTCCTGATAATTTTTTCACAGATTCTGAAAGGTTTTTTTATTCTGAATTCAACAATGTACTATACAAGGTGATTCGAATGTGTTTCGACCTATTTCTATCCATCATCAATGTCTTTTCGAACTTCCAAAAGAAAGAAAGCCATCAGTTCCACTTATTTCCTATCATTCAGTGTCAAACTTGATGGATTAGTTATTCAATACTGAAAAGTGAATAAAAAATATTCCACTACATCATTCGATCAATGCAGCGTTTAAAATTGTTGATGAATTCTTACACGAATCACTTTAACAACTCGACTTTGACAATACCTACAGAGACATTCATAACAAATGTTCAAAATGATAACCATTATTTTCTGAACAAAGATATCCTCTTCTCACAGTTGTTTCTAAGACATTGCTAAGCATTTCTGGGGTTATTCTATTGAATGCTTCGAAGACACTGTCCCTTAGTTCTTCTTCATCCTCAAAGTTATTTGCGTGTACAAAGTTCGATATATCCCCTAAGAAAAAATCCAGCTGTGTCAAATCAAGCGACCGCGCCGGCCAAGGGATAAAAACGCACAGACTTCTCTGGAATTATGTACCGGAGCGCCATCTTGTTGAAACCAACAGAGTTCTGAACTTCCGCAATCGGTAAATCATCCAGAGCTTCCTCAAGATGATTCTCAAGCGAATTTATATAACGTTCGGAAGTCTGTGTTTCATGGTGAATAAAAGGAACAATAATTCGTGTACCAAATATTGCAACCCACATATTAAAGCCGAAACGGTGTTGGTGTCTCGCTGTAATGTATAAATGTTCATTTTCTCGTGAGCAATAATGTGTATTTTTTCTATCGAAGCTACCATGATTAGTGACCATGCTTTCATCAGTACAGATGATTGTTCGAAAGAAATCTGCAAAATTTTAACATTTCCTGGTATACCACTCACAGAATGTCTTGCGCCTTTCGTCATCGCCTGGTTTTAGCGCTTGACATAATTATTCTGAATTTGTATATGGATGGAATTTTTGTTTCCGCAAAATGAAATGGGTTGTTGATTGAAACCAGTTGATGAGGTATTAGTTTGTTGACTAATTTTCCTTCGAAATAAGTGGAACTGATGGCATTTTTCCTTTGGAGTTTCGAAAAAACATTGATGATGGCCAAAAATAGGTCGAAACACAAATGAACCACCTTGTATAATACATGGTTGAATTCAGAATAAAAAAACCTTTTAGAATCTGTGAAAAAATTATCAGGACCGTATTTAAAAAACAAAAGTTGATGATGGTTCCACGAATACGAAACGTCGCATGAAAAAATCGGTATCACCACGTTGACCGTCATCAAAAGTTGCTATAAAAAAGTATTCTCAGTTTTGCTGTATCTCTAATAATAACGGAGAAAAAAAATAATATAGAAATTCCAAAAATTCACTTTTTTCGATATAACTCAAAAACTAAAAATAATTTTCAAAATTTTCGAAGGCTCTTGATATGAGCCTCCGAATGCGCAACTTTTTCTCCATTTAACCGATTTCGTATCTCTTACCGTTTTCGAGATCCCCATGCTGTTCAACCTTATCTTGGACAGACTGTATATCACATATATGCAGGGTGTTTCAGTTTTTTGTAGCAGGACTTTAACAGCTTGAAAAAGACATTTTTTCAAGATGAAAATCTCATATATGCGTGGGAGCTTCGTTTCCGATTCACAGGGTGTCAAAGTTTCAGATTTTTTTTATGTTCTTTCAATTTTCTCCTACAATTTTCGGAATAATTGATTGAAATTTGGTACACCTAATACACTTCAAAAACTCAATTTTTTAGGCAATTGAGCATTTTTGAATACCTACATGATGTTAGACTATCAGGGGTCGTACCCAATTTAATCCTGTAGAACTTTTTTGCGTGCCGTCTCTGCTTTCAATGAGACATAGATTCAGATTGTCCTTTCAATTTGGAAACTTTTTGCCTCCATGTAAATTTTTCGAAAACTGTATGGATCTCGAGATAAATGCCAAAAATAAATTACTTGTAATAAAACCGTTATTTCTCAAACACACTTATTTGACATTTCTTAAACATTTTATTAGAATGACCGAAAGCTTCCATACCAAAAAATGAAATACAGTTGCAAAATTGAATTGATTTTACTGAACACCATTATAATCAAAACTAGAAAAAACAAAACATAAAAAATATCAGAAATTTCGACACCCTGTAAATCGGAAACGAAGCTCCCTCCCAAAAAATGTCTTCTTCAAGCTGTTAAAGTCCTGCTACAAAAAACTGAAACACCCTGTATACACTGTTGATGGCTTTTGTTGTGCTATAGTTCCGAAGAATGACTCAATAATACCGTCTCCGAGAAAGAACTGCAAGTCCTTTTATCTTCCATTCGACTTCGCGGTTACGTATTTTACTAAACAACCACTAAATTCGCAATTTTTTGAAATCAAATCACAGAATTAGACTGACAGAAGTGACATCAGATATTTGAATACTTCAAAAGAATGATAAAGATGCCTACAACGCAGGTGTCCCTACTGTTAGAAACTTAAAATTTCACGTCGATAATTTTCAGATTTTAAAATAATGTAATATCTTCTAAATATTGATTCGTCCTTCCTTCTGTCACAGAAAAAAAATAGTGTATTATACACGGGAAAAATATTAGATTTTAGCTCACGGTTTTTGTCTTCCTCCGCTACGCGTCGGGAGACAAAACACAACCTGGAGCTAAAATCTACAACTTTTTTCCCTTGTATAATAAATAACTATTTTTCAAAAACAGATCTGGATTTTTCATTTAATTTTTTCATACCTTTGGATATCCCAAAAAGCTATAAGCTCTGATAAATTTTCATTTTCGAATGTTTCATTTTGAAAATTTCAGTTTCGTATTGAATATTGAAAAAAATACAGAAAATATTGATTACCGAAACATTCGAAAATATAAATTTGCGAGAGCTCATAGCTTTTGGTATATCCAAAGGTGTAAAAATCCAGGTCCGTATTTGAAAAAATAACTTGAAGATAATTTCTGGAAGACGAAACGTCGAATTTCAAATTTACAGGATACAGGGTGATCAGAATTCTGAATCTTGAACCACAGGGCATTTGTTCCAATGTTCCAAATGTCAGTAGATAGTTAATCAGAAGTTAAGATAGTGACTTGCAGGCCGTTTTGACCGATAATGGATAATTTCGACACAAAAAAATCCCAAAGTTGAAAATTATCTATTTTGAACATCCTATATCTCTGTAATTATTCCCGCTAGACCCCAAGTGTGATGAATTGATGAAATCAGCTCTACAAGGAGAATCTGAAAATGCAGGGCATTCCATTAAAAAAATAGTAACTTCGATATATTTCGTGTTTTTGGCACACCCTGTACAACATGAAAATATTCTTGAAATGTACCGCTAATAGGTCTCTATTCATACGAAACAAAAAAATCGAATGCTTTAGCCACAATGCATCGTGTCGAATAACATGAATAACCCTGTATAATCTACCTTTGACACGATGTCGTTTTTCAATTGTTCCATGATAACCGGCAAGTTTCGCTGTATATCCAACACAGCTTCGTACGTCCTTTGCAGCTGCATCTTTTCTCGTTCGTTTTTCTGCATCAATATCGTTTCCACTGCTGCCAACCTTTCGTCCAATCTGCTAACGGTTCCTTCAATAAAACAAATTTTCTTCTGAATAAAAATGTCTCATTTACTAGGGATTAAAATAAATGATAATTCATAACCTGTCAACAGAGATGAAATGTCAAACCTTTTATAGATGCCAAACTGACAAGAAGTAAGAAATAATATAATAAAGAGGTGTTAATAAATACAGAACATAGAAAATACTTATTACGGAGGTGATAATATACACTGTGTCCGAAATAAAGAGAGCCAATATGGGCATTTCGGAAGATACGAGATACTAGAGATGTTCTGTAACTGCATCTGAGAGCAGAGTGAGAGGGAGAAATTGTCAGTCATGTGACCTCTGGAGCAAACAGATCAATTATAAAAAGAACGCTCTTGATGTGGAGTCGTCTACTATTGCATTAATGCCAATAAAAATTGTGATTTCTTTTACGGAATCGGGTCAAAATGTTTTCATTTTCGATTATGGGCGCGCCTTTTTCTGTCTGAACTATACTATACAGTGTGTCCCAAATTCGATCCTCACCATTGGGATCTCAGTAAGTATGAGAGATAGCGAGAAACGGTTGAATTGGCAAAGTTGTAGCAAATTTAATGTTGAATCAGAATCTATTAAGCAATCCGGGCTAGCTTTTGTCGTTCTTGAGTTATATGTGAAAAACTGAAATCTTGTATTTTTGTTTTGTTCGAATATCTCGGAAACTATTGATTTCATGAAAAAATTATTTCAACATTCTCATAGCACTTTTTGTTGTTCTTTTCAATGGTTTCGTCAGTTTTCCATCAAAATGTCAAATTTGTGAGATTTCACTTACAACTTCGATTTTTCTCATGGACGCCATATTGGATTTCAACAGATATGAAATCAGCATAAAATTTGCTTTCTAGTGATGTATCACAATCACAGTTTTATTCTATTTGGGGTAATGATTTCCAATTTTTGTTTTTATGTCCAGTAGGCTATGAATTCTGTAACTAATAAATAATACTCGAAGTTATCTCCACGACAATTCATTATATTGTGTTATTAGTTACTACTCCACTCCACCATGACCTTAGATTATGGAGTGTGTGTTCTATTTTCTTGCATAACTTATTAACAGGTGAATAATACAAATACTGAAAAAAAAAATTGAACTGCTCGAAATGGCCCCCATTGTCCTCGATACATTTTAATATTCTCAGATGAACTCTGTTGATGTGCTGGAATGTATCCATCACTCTCTCGTAGATCATCAATATCCAGGACCGTTTTTCACCTATTAGAGACCCTGGGCACATTAGAATAATGGGGCCCTTATGATCATGATAACATACTATTTTGTTAGAATAGACGAATAACATAGAAATGCAAAGCTTTTGCATTATTTTTATATCTTCACAGTTACATTGGATATGATGAATAGATTTTATATCATGTACTCCACACTAAGTAACCAGCATCCACGATTAGTCCTTATACTCCTTATATAAGTATCTATGCTGATTGAAGGTACCCTTTTCGATTTGAGTTGAGCAAAATCGTTAATAACATCTTCAAAATCTATGTTTTCGAGCATATCACATTCTATCGACATTAGCGACAAACTATCCAATCTCTCTTGAAACATTGTACTTCTGAATTCACTTCTTATTAGTTTTAATTAGGAGAAGGAGCGTTTCCCACTGCAGTTAGTTACCAGCATGCATAGAAGAAAGATTCTCAGTGCGATTTCAACATTAGGAAAGGTGTTCCACTTCTATTTTTTTTTCACTTTTTTTCGAGTAAATTTTGCGAAAGGCAGTGGAAAAGAGAAATTATATTGTAATTTATTAAACATGCTGTTCTCGGTAAGCCTGATTTTCAGGCAAGAGTAGAGTAGTTATCGGGACTAGGAGGCCCCAATCCTCGCGGGGCCCTGGGCACGTGCCCAGTGTGCCCAGTGGGGAAGAGGGGCCTGTCAATATCTTGAATTGGCTCTTCATGAATTTTATTCTTGGCGTAGCCCCACAGGTGAGAAACGAGAGGCGAACAATCAGGCGACCTTGGAGGCCATCTAACAGGTCCATGAATAGTAATTAATTTAGCACCAAATTGATTTTTGAGATATCGATATCGATTCTTTCACACTGGTTGAAAAACCAGTGACAAAACTCGAGACGACGTTCATTATCACCAGGTCTTAACCCTTGTACTGTCACTGGTTTTTGTGAACGGCATTGTTTGCCCCGAAATAATTTACTAACTTGTATTTTCTCTTGACGTTTACAGAAATGTCACTTGGCTACAAGCCTACTCTATGAAAGTTGTGCCAGAACACATATTCGTTATTGTTTATAGAGAGTTCAGCACATAGCCTACTGATGGACTTAAAAAAAAAAATTGGAAATCAGTACTGCTTATAAGATAAAACTATGACTGTGATACATCACTAGAATGGAAATTTTATGCTGATTTCAAATCTGTGAAAATCCAATATAGCGTCCATGAGAAAAACCGAAGTTGTAGGTGATATCTCAGAAATTTGACATTTTGATGGAAAACTGACAAAACCATTGAAAAGAACACCAAAAAGTGCTATGGGAATGTTGAAGTCATTTTTTCATGAAATCAATTGTTTCCGAGATATTCTAGAAAAACAAAAATACAAGATTTCAGTTTTTCACAAATAACTCAAGAACGACAAAAGCTAGCCCGGATTTCTCAATAGATTCTGATTCATCATTAAATTTGCTACAACTTTGCCTATTTAATCGTTTCTCTATCTCTCATAGTTACTGAGATCCCAATGGTGAGGATCAAATTTGGGACACACTGTATAGCTTCGTTCATATTTGGTTTCAATATCTGATCAGTTCATCTATGACTTAAACAAACTTTGCTGCTTATACAGAACAAATTGATACAATTCAAACTGAAATCAAACCAGAAACCAGAGCTCTAATTTCAACTCCAATAACTGACCCTCAGTGCAGTCATTCAACAAAAAGCTGTCAGAGTAGAAATATATATATCTAATTCCTCTAAATTGATAATCCGAGCAGAACGATTTTATTTTTTTCCTGGCTGTCAAATAACAGAACGCTACAAATCAATTGTGTCTTGCTCGAAATGATATTAAAAAACGGCTCTGGAGATAAACAAGCAAATAAATGTGATAGCAGAACATCACTACTGACTTGGTTGAATAGGAGAAAGATTGCGCTAGTGAAATACCAACAAAATGACTTCAAAAATCTCTGATATGCCTTCTCGTTCCTGAGTTATTTCCAAAAACCTGATTGTCCGGATTTTCAATTGAATGTTTCTCTTGCGTCAATAAAGAAGTCATGACAAAACTGAAAAAACCTCTTTCTTTTATGGCAACTTTTGATGCTATTCAATTCGGCATTATCGATTTTCTAATTCAACGTAACCATCATCAATTTAATTTTTTTAAATACGGTCCTTATATTATGATATCAGATTCGAATAACCCTCTAGAACCATTCTGATTCCGACGATATGCTGCATATTGTGGTTTTGATGCGGTTCGAGCTTATTTTGGCCATCATCAAGTAATTTTTGGAATACAAACCTGCATTTTTCCTAATTCTGTGGAAGAAATTCATTTATCAAATAGAACATTCAACAATGCTACATCAACATCAATGCGCATTTTATAATACGTGAATAATCAATAATTTAATAATAAATAACAGTAAAGAAATGAACAGATGCACAGATCAAAAACTTCTTCGAACGTCAGAATTATTGCAAACAAAACTGCGATGAATTCACAGAGATGATCAAAAAGATTGCCATTGCTTACTGCTTATTTTCTAAAATGATTCAAGAACCAGTTCGTCCATAACATAGTTCTTGACATATATCCCCAAAGGAAGAAGTCTGGCGGGATCATATCGGGTGAACCAGCTGGCCAGTTCTTATGAATCTGAGTGAGAGATGATCTGTAGCAGATCTTGAGTTGCAGGTACACCATCATGCTAAAACCAACAGTTCTGAACTTCCACCAGTGTCAAATTGTCCAGGGCTCCCTCCATATCATTTTGAAGTAAATTTAAATAACTGTTCCCCAGAATTATGAGTAATTCAGGTCTGTATTTCAGAAATTTTACTTGATGATGGCCAAAATGAGCTTCAAATGCATCAAAACCACAGTACAATAGCATATCGTTGAAATTAAAATGGAAAGGGCTATCCGAATCCGTTAACAAAATATCAGGGCCGTATTTGAAAGAATGAAGTTGATTTTATGGTTGCTCAAATATACATACATGAAGCTGGAAGAAGTGTGTTAAAAAAAACGCTCATCCTGAAGATCCTAACCAGGATAATGGAACAAAGCTCTCAAATTATTCTATTGTTATCGGTCCTTCGATAAGTGTACTAAGTTTCAATTTTCAAATCAATTCTATTCATTTCGACGTTTTGAATATGGTCAATATCGCTCATCTCTCTGATGTAACAATTCATACGGGTACTTGGTGTAAGACACTGCCGTGTTTCTATAGATATACAACAAACCTCTAGTTATTCGAAGAAAATTTGGCGGAGGAACATTTTTAGATTTTGGTGGCGGAGCATCATTCACCATTTTATTCGAGAAAAAAATATCGAATGTATAAACTTCTCAAACGATAAGATTTTCACAAAATTCTCATTCACACGACATGTTTCGCTTACACAGTAGCTCCATCAGGTGAAGTACTGGTTCAATAAACTTTAACTAACATTGGCTTGTCGAACTTTCATATACTCATCCTACTTTCCCAACCTGAAGGATTAGGTAGAATTGAACCTGTGGACAGGTTCCATAAACCTTTATTTTCGGAAAATATCTACATTAAAATACAGTGTACCAGAATACCTTGAGGAGGTTTTTTTTTTTCAGAAAAAATACTTTATTGAACAAATAAACATACAACTATAACAATTCATAGTATTTTTTTTTCCAAATCAGCAATAATGCTGGTGATGGAACTTAAACTTAATGATGAATAAACAAGTAATCAAGTTAACATCAAACAAAAATGCACATTTTATATTTGGGTACAGTCTTGAAGCATATTCAACCTAACAAAAAAAAAAACAACAAAAAACACAAAAATACATACTATTTATTGATTGCATTCATATAAATCATTAGTTCTCTTTTGAACGATGCATACCTATCTTTGTTTTTGATGAAATCTGGTATAGTATTATAAGTTTGAATACATTTGAATATTGGGTCATTCAGTGCCACATTAGTTTTTACTTGTGTTAGATATATTTGATTGTTTGCCCTGGTATAGTGATTGTGAACTTGGTTTACTAAATTCATTGGTGTATTACTTTTTTGCTGATTCTTCGAGACTTTATATATATATTTGCATTGTTCAATAAGTAGAATTTTATCGAGTGGTAATATTCCAGTGACACTATATAATGTATTGGTATTTGTTTTATAATCAAAATCAAACAGTACCTTTACTACTTTGTTTTGTAATGTTTTGACTTTTTTCATCATCGTATTAGAGCAAACTCCCCAGTTCGTTATTAAGTATCGAAATATTGAGAGGAAATAACTATTATAGATCATCAGCTTATTATGGTTGTTTAGGTAATCACGACATCTATACAGGGCACCTATCATTGGAACAGTTTTATTTGTCATGTGTTCTATGTGTGCTTGCCAGTTGAGTTTGTCGTCAACAATTAGCCCTAGATATTTAGTATTTTCTACTTTTTTTAACATATTATCTCCAATTTTAATAATAATCTCGTGACTTTCTTTGTTTTTATTCTTGAATAACATATATACTGTTTTTTGTACATTAATTTCCAATTTATTACTCAACAGCCATTCTGAATATAGGTTCAAATCTATATTGATTCTACTTTCTAGTTCTATTAGGTCTTTTCCTTCATAAACAAGTATTGTGTCATCTGCAAAAGTATAGTAACGAGCTATTAAATTTGCATTTTTTAAATTGAGGGTGTGCAGTGAATAAAACAGTGGACCCAGGACTGAGCCCTGTGGTACTCCACAATTTATGTTTTCTAACTGGCTCTCTATGTTGTTAAGCGAGACATACTGTTCACGGGAATGTAGATATGTTTCAATTAAGTTTAATGTTAAACCCCTAAATCCTAATGTATTCAACTTCGATAATAATATATTATGATCCACTACATCGAAAGCTTTCTGAAGGTCTACAAATACAGTGGTGACATATTTACTTTCATCCAGTTTTGTTGTTACATAGTTAAGGAAATCTGTAGTGTCACTTTGTGTGTTTGATTTTTTTTGCCTACAAAATTTCGCGACGCCTGACAAATAAGTAACTTAGGAACCATGATTTTCAATAGTGCTACTTTGGGTTTTAATAGACTCATTCTGTTGGCATAATTTCCAAATAATAAACATCTGGCTACCTCTCCTCTGAATTTATTGATATTCAATTTCGAATGGGTATGTTCTTTATATTTGTTGAATGCATTCACCATAGACATGCCTGACAACAATTTAAAAAAACCTTTCGGTACCACTTGATGTCTCGTCGATTACGAGTACTATATGAAGCCATTTGGTCAAACTCGTCAATGTGGATGCCACACTTTCATTCAATATAAGCAACCGATGTTTAGAAATGGTAACTGAAAAATAATGTGTAGTGCCACACCGTGTCAGTCGTTTTTGGAAACACGAACAAACATGAACCTGACGTGAGCACCGTAAAATAAATACTGAGTATGCAATTATGCATACTGACGTATTGGAGGTGCACACAAAGGCCGCGGCCTCAGCTTGAAAATTCTTGTCAGTCGAAATCGACTAACATGTCAGTCAGACTGTTGTAAAATGTAGAATTTTTGAGTTTGTTGATTACTAATGATTTATAATAATTGAGTTTTATTTATTTATTTCCTGTTTCTTTTAATATATGATTGGCGTATGTTGAGTTTGTTTTCTTTTCTAAAAAATTCATCTTATCTCACGTTATCGTTACACCATTATTCCTACAAAATCCAATGTTTCTACTCCTGAAATATATAGATTTTATAGAGCGACTCATGAAAATAAAGGTCAGACAATATTATGTTATTGAATGTCATACCTTTGACTGGATCCAGCATCTTGATTCTTTTGTCTATGTTTATCATCCCTTTCTTCAACTGTTCTCCAACCACTCGATCTCGATACTCATGCCTCTCCAACTTGTCATCCGTTGACCGGACTACGTTCACTATTTGAAGGATGGCAATTCTTATATCTTCATTTCTGAAAAATTATACAGGGTCACATTGAAATATGTAGGTACATATTCAAAATCACACACACACACACACACACACAAAATCACAATATTCGGGAAGTATATACAGTGTGTGCGATTTCAACCCGCAACAGCCTTCTTATTTGGAACCCGTCGACCGATGTGAAAAAACAAAAATATTCAGCTTTTCAAGGCCTACTTTCGTTTGTTGAAGGGGTCAAAATTTCAAAAATGATCACTACCCAGATAACATAGAATTTCCTATGGATATTCTATATTGTCCAATTCTAATCGGAATATCCTTGGATTTGAAATGGGTATCCATGAGATATCCATCGCAGGATTCGACATGGATATCCTTCAGTAGATATCTCGAGGATATTCATAAGATATATATCTACAGCAATAATGAATGTATGATCAGTTTGCAAGATTGATTTTGATAGTGTCAATTCATGAGTTTCTTTTGTGTCCGAAAATGGATTGAAGCTTCTTGAAAATAGATTTGATACTTTGTTCTCCTACTGGATTTGAAATGACATCCATGAGATATCCACCGCAGGATTTGACACGGATATCCTTCAGTAGATATCTCAAGGATATTCATGAGATATCCACAGCAATATGAATGTGTCAAATTTGCAAGATTGATTTGGAAAGTGCCAATTCATGAGTTTCTTCTGTGTCCAAATATAGATTGAAGCTTTTTGGGATTATATCTAATTCTTTGTTCGCCAACTGAATTTGGTATGAACATCCATGATATATCGATTGCAGGATTTGACATGGATATGCTTCAGTAGATATCTTAGGGATATCCATAAGATATCCACAGCACTTATGAATGTTTTCAATATGCAAGATAGATTCTGATAGTGTCAATTTATGTGTTTCTCTCGTGTCCGAACATAGATTGAAGCTTTTTGGTAATGGATCTGTTTCTTTGTTTTTCTGCGGGATTCGAAATGGACAACAATGAGGTATCCATCGCAGGATTCGACATGGATATCCTTCAGTGAATATCTTAAAGATATCCATGAGATGTCCACAGTGATTATGAATGTTTTCAATTCGCAAGATTGATTTTGAAAGTTTCAATTTCTGAGCCAATACCACCTGAAACGGACCACAGTCGTTACTACCAATACAACAAGGCCTGCATGCTCCGTGGGTGACGTCACTTAGTGAGGCCTAACCAGCGGCTCGAAACGACAAGCGCTCATAGCGCTATAAGGCGACCGCGTATTTCGATTTTTGTTTTAGATCATCATTGAGCCGATTTTGCTGTTTTTCGAAGGGCTTCCGGTTAAAAAATGATGCCAGTCGTCAACTGAGCCCTTCTTCGCACCCCATTCGATTTTATTATGGAAAAACGGAGTTTTAAAGCAAAAAGCAGGATAAAACACAAACAATCACCTACAGCAACCCATTCGAATTGAATATATTGGCAAAAATTGTGGTGAAGGTAAACTTCACACCTACTTATACAGGGCCCGCAGAACATAAACTTATCGTGAGATTGATCGAAAGAAAATTTTGGAAAATGTATTTTATTTTTATTGACATTTTTTTCGGTACTCACGTATTTTTGTCTGATAAACCGAATTTTATAATGAAAATGTGAACAAACCACTATTTATTGAGATATTTCAAGAAAAAGTTCGAAATTTCGCATTCTTTCTCCCCTTGTGTTTGGGGCATTTGAAGCTACTTGCTCTTATTTTGTCATTGGACACTTTATATACTCATGATGTACTTCGATGGCACATTTTTATATAGAAAATTCAACAGGAAATATGATTTTTATGGCGAGTTTTTCATATTTTTTTTTTCATCGCTTGGAGCGCACGAAAGGGAATCCCTATGTTCAAAGAACATCGTGCGTTCCTAGGGAGGATAGGGACAGGAGGTAGGTATTGGAATTTTTTTTGAACTTTTGGAGATTATATGTTGTCGGGAATACTTCCACAGGCAATGAATTCCAGAGCCTAGCCGTTCTATGGATGAAGGAGTCTTGATAAAGTGCTGTTCGACATCTTTCGAGGTTGACAACGAAAGGATGTGCTGACTGGGCTTGTCTAGTTCGTCTGATTGTGAACAAGCATTCCAGATGACGACCATTTAATCAATAGATATACGAGATGTCAAATGTCAATAGATTGCTTTCGAATGACATTACACACGCCATTATTTTGAATGATATTCTTCCTTCTTTTCACTAAATATGGATTAATCTCAAGAAAATCATATTTATAGTTGAATTATATATAAATTGTCCAAGATGATGAAAAAAGAAGGGAAATTAGTTCTAAATGCCATCCAGAAGACAGGTGAAAAAGAAGCTGGAATTTGGAACTTTTTAGTCAAATATCTTCATGATAAATATCATGATAAATGCAGTTTTACCTTTTTAAGTAGAGTGTTTGTAGTTCATGTTAATATGATAGTTGCAATTTGATCATTGAAATGAAGACACCCAGCCAGTAATTTATTTGGTTCACCTCATGGTTGTAAGGGGTGGACAACACAACCCCAAAATTTCATTTCCAATGTAACTTTTTGTCTTATCATTTGTTTACCATTAAAAAAACTTATTTTCGATAGCCTGTTTCATGTTGAACCAAAAATGTCCCTTTAATTTTTTGTCCAAAATAAACTAGTTCGCAGCAGACAATTATTTTACGAACAACATACATATCGCCATAAAAAGAAAATACGAAACTAATTTAGTAGGCCGCTATTAGCGATAGTGACAATTGAATTGGTATCAAGCTGTCAGTCAAGGTAGACATATTGAACATTTACTATGATTTCTACTTGTTGTATGTTTTGTTATTAATGCATTTTCTGTTCATTCCCCTGTGATCATTTAATGCAGGTAGTAACTACGAAATAACAATAAATCCATCAGTTCACATTAATGACGATGTATCTCTGTAGTTATTCGTAAAATAATTTTTTGCTGCGAACTGGTTGATTTTGGATAAAAAATTCAGAGAACATTTTTTGTTTAGAATGAAAAAGGCTATCGGAAATGGATTTTCAAATGGTAAACAAATAGTGAGACAAGAAGTCACAATTGAAATTGAATTTAGGGGTTGCGTTTTACATCCCTGACAACCATGGGGTACACCAAATAAATTAGTGGCTGAGTGTCTTTTTGGTAGTAGAAAATGTCAGGTAACCTATACTGGTGGAAACGATAACTGTGCGATGTGTTCTTGCTACTTGCGACCAGCGGTCATGGACAAAATGACATGTTTCGAAGGATTAATCCTAATACATATTATTACCTACTAAGAAAACAAACAACAGTGGTGAACAATTGAGGTCTAATTGATCGTTAAGTGAAATGTCAGAATTTTTGAGTTTATTGATTTATAATGATTCAAAATGATTGAGTTTAATTCCTCTATTTTCTACGTGTAGAATTTCGGAATTATCATCGAAACTATCCCTAGCATCACGAGGATGTCCAAGGTACGTCCCTTTCTTGTCCCGCGGTACAAGGACATGATTGAAGCATCCAGGGGATGTCCAACAGTGGTTGTCCAGTGGATATCCCGCCCGGTACATCCCTAGGCTATCCTATTCGTATCCCTGGAATATCCGATATCCATTCACATCAGAGTCATTGAATTTCATCGAAATATTGAGTTGAATTTATTTCAAAATGTTTGTTTTTCTCTCGGAATCTAATTGTAACTAAAAAAAAAAGAATATAGTCTCAGAACTTCTTAGAAATGAACACTTTTCGCAAACAGAAATCGGGAATGCATAATGCCCCTCATTTTTAAAAACCCAAGAATGATGATAATTATATCCAAATACTAACGTAGTTGTATTTATATTCAGGTTTCTGTAGTTCTGTTTATGAATCTGTTAAGTACATAGCTTTTCAGGAAGTATATAGTCAATGGAGTAAGGTGTGTGCCTGATAAGCTAATGGTACCGGGTTCAATCCCTCCTCGACATACATTTTTTTTGTTTTGTCGAAAGGATGACTCTGAAATATCCTTGGGACGTCCTAGGGATATCCTTTCTTCGTACTTGGTACATATCCCAGGGACGTACCAGAAGGACATTCCTTGGATGCCGTTTTCCTCGGCCAGTGGATGTCCCTGGGACGTCCTTAGTATGTACTTTCTCCCGACCAAGGATATCCCTGGAACGTCCTAGTATAAAATTAGAGACGTCTCCCGGTAGTCTCTAGGATGTACTTGTGTTGTTAGGGATGATTTTCTTCTAATATATGGTTGGCGTATGTTGAATTTGTTCAGATTTTCAAAAAATGCAACTTCAAGTCAATCTGGTACACCGTATTTTGATGTAGATATTGTGCCTAATTTCCGGAAATGAATGTTTATTAAACCTGTCCACAGGTAACTAATCCTTCAGGTTGGGAAAGTAGAATAATCAATAAAAGTTGAGCAAGCCACGGTTAGTTCAGTTCATTGTACCAGTATATCACTTGACGAAGCACTGTGTTTTTTTATGTTCTGATTCCCACGAAAAGGAATATCCTGTAATGTGCAGAGAACATCGTGAGAACCAAGGAAAATAAGGTAGGAATTGGTGTTCTTCTTAAATTTCTGGAGGTTTCATGCCTTGGGAAACACCTCCCTTGGCAATGTGTTCCAGAGCCTCGCTGTTCGTTGGATGAACGAGTCTTTGGAAAGTGATGTTCTGCAGGTCTCCAAAGTAACCACGAAGGGGTGCGAAGCCTCTACTTGACGGGGGGACTGCCAATGGAGGAACAATTGTTGATATTTCAGATAACGGTATCGTCCATGAAATATCTATAAAATAGAGCCAGATCGCCAACTTTTCTACGGTGTGCCAGAGAAGTGAGTGAGTTTGTGAGCGAGGCATCACCCACGAGACGAATTGCCCGTTTTTGGACAGAATCCAACAGTTTCAGGGTATGTTTGGGTGCTGCATTCCAAATATGGAAACAGTATTCCAGGACAGGTCTGACCTGTGCCTTATAGATCATTAGCAGCTG